TTAGCGTCTTTAAATTACTTTTTATATAAGTAGCCTTTTAACTATCTATAGATTAGTAGAGGGTATAGTAACTTCTAATATATACTTATTAGCTTATAGGGTTTAGTAACGCCTTTATTATATACTAGTAATTTACTAGTAACATCTTTATAATTATTATACTTATTAGGTATTATATAGTTAATTAAGTAGCCTTAGGCGCACTTTAGCTAAAGGTAGTAATCTTTACTTATTAGTTAACTTTATAATATACTAAACTATATTATTACCTATAAGCTACCTTATATATAGTCTATAATCTTTTACTATAAAGTAAGCCTTATAAGGAAAGTAGCCTTAAATAAAGTCCTTAGTGTAATCTAACTACTTATATATATAGTAGGATAATATCTTTTTATAACGCCTTTAAGTAAGGTTACTACTAGTTAGAGATTACTTAATAAGCTAGCTATAGTTACTTAGGAATTTAACACCTTTTTACGCTTAGTAACGTCTTATAAACTAATTATATAGGGATAAGATAAGGTATAAGGGATTACTATCTTTATTATTTTAGAACTATTAGTTCTTAGTAAGTTACTAGCTTATAGGCTATTAGCTATTAATAAATTAATTAATAGGCTATTAGCTATTAATTTAGGTATTTACTTATTAATTATTTTACTATTAGTAATTATTTAGCTATTAGCTATTAGATTAATTAATTAAAAGCTATTAGTTTTTATTTTACTACCCCTTATATTAATATTTATAAAGGCTATAAAAAAGGCGCTTAGTAGTAATAGTAGTAAGGTAAGAAGAAGTATAAACTTTACCTACTTATATAGATATTCTAGTGTATTACCTAATTACTAAGCGCCTAATAGAGTAATATTAGTATACTTAATTACTTTATTTATTTCCTTATTAGCTTTTTTATATAAAAGGGATTAATTACTAGCTGCTATTAGCTAGTTAATTTATTATTAAATTACTATAAGGTTAGCTTTATAAAGCTTATCTAATAATTTATTTATTATTTTATTAAAGAGTTATTTTTTATTAAATATTATATTACATATAGTTAAGACCTTATTTTATACTAAATACTAAATATAATATAAATTACTAGATATATATCTAATAAGAAATCTAATTTATATATAGGTAGTAAGCTTTTATTAGTAGTTTTATAATAGTTATATATCTACTATTAGCGCGTACGCTTAGTATTTATAGGCTTATAAATATAAAAGATCTAGCTTTACTATTAGTAAAGGCTTAGCGTGCTTATTAAGTATAAAATATAAGTAAAATATTTAATATAGTAATTTCTACCTCTAAGCTACTAATAGCGTTTAATTATAAAGATAAGTAGCTATAGTTATAATTTTAGGCTATAGGACTTTAGGTAATTTTATATTAATATATATATATTATACCTTAAGTTTAATAATTATAGTAATTTACTTAGCGTCTTTATTTTAAGCCTAGGTATTTACTACTAACAGCTTAATAAAGATCTTATAATTAAAAAGTATATCTATAAGTTACCTAAGGCATAGGATTTCTTAGTTAGCTTTAATAACTTTTAGTATAATTAAATATTTAGTTTTTAGTATTATAAGGAAGCCCCTTATTATTAATTAAATAGTATCTTAGTAGTAGCTATATAAGTAGAAATCCTATATAAGGCTAGTTACCTAATCTAAGATTATTATTACTAAGTAGTATCCTATATAACCTTATTTAAGATTATAGAAGTCTAGCGCTAGGTAATTACCTAGTGCTATATTTATAATTAATTTATAAGGCTAATAGTAAATCTACCTCCTTATTTTACTAAGACTATATAAATTATAGTCTTATATTATTATAGCGTTAACTTAGGTTAGACGTACTCTATAAGTAGTATTTATAATCCTTTATAAAGCCTTAGTACCTAAGTAGCTAAGACACTTATACTATATTATTATATTACTATAAAGTAGTTATTACTATATTAGCGTTATATATTTATTTCTTCTTTATAAGGTTAGTAGTAAATTATTAGTAGAATATATAGTAAAAGCGCTTTTACTTTCTTAGCTATAGCTACGTTACTTAAATATTTAAGCACTTATTAGTTACTTTATTCCTTAATATAGCCTATAAGGCTATAGTCTACACGCCTTAGATAATTATTACTTAGGCTTATATCTTACTATATACCTTATTAGTGTAGCCTTATAAAAGAAATAAGTAATATAGTAAATACACTATAATATATTACGTTATATATATAAAGCTTAGTTAGTAAGCTATTACCGCCCTTTAGAATAATCTCTATAGTACTATATCCTTTAATTATAACTTAGGTAGTACTACCCTTAATATAGTTACTAATTAGGGCTACTACTAATATAATAAACTATAATATATAGTTAAATATATAGTTAGTAGTACTTAAATTAAGTAAGGCTAAATTACTTAGCTTATAGCCCTATAAAGTAGTATAAAAGGCTACCTTTATATAGTATTTACTATATAGTTAATATAACTTAGCCTTAATTCTTTATACTTATTTAGTAAAGTTAGGATTACTTACTATATACTTATTAATTTATTACTAATATAATATATTTACTTACTAATTATTAAGCCTTTATAACTTATTTATAAAGTAATAAAGTTATAATAAATAAGGATTAAAGTATATAAAGCACTTTACTTTTTTACTTACACTTTATTAATAGTAATATCTCTTATTAGTTAATTTATTTTTCTTTACTACGTCTTTACTACGCGTTAGGTTATTATTACTATTACTTTTAGTTAGGCTAAATATACTATAGCCTATTTAGCTATAGTATAGTAAGTTATTAGTAAGGGCTTTAACCCTCTCTAGCGCTATCTTATAAAAAGACTACTAGTTAAGATTATTTTAGTTACTTATTATTTTACTAGTTACTATATATAAATCTAGCTAAAAGCTAAGTAAACTACTTTATAAAGTAGTAATAAGGTTATTAAACTAAATTAATAGCTATTAGTAGTTAGGTAAATTAACTTATACTAATTTACTATAAGCTACGTTTTATTTATTAAGCTATATAGTAAGATCTTTTTTAGTAATTAAGGCCTTTTACTAGGCTTTTACTAACACTTTACTATATTTATTATAGGCGTACTTTATATACTCTTCTTTAGTTATTCTTACTACTACACTAAGCTTATTAAGCTATTTAGTTAGTAATTTATTAGATTTATAATATCTTTCTTAAAGATTTATAAATATAGTAGATTTAACTATATTAGCTATATCTTTAACGTCCTTTTACTAAGTAGTATACTTATATACTTCCTTATAATAGTAGCTTATCTAGCTATTTAAGTATATAAGATTATATAAGTTAAGATTATTTAGTGTTATTATATATTTAGTTTTATATATAAGCCTATTAGGTATAGCTATAATAGCCTTACTTCTTACTATATATAGCTATATAGTTACTTACTAAGATATCTTAGTAATTACTATAGCTATAGTAACCTTTTAGTAAGTAGTAAGCTTATCTTTAGTTAAGGCGTATAGATATTACGTTATAAGCAGCTTTATTAGTTTCTTTAGATATATCTTAAGGATTAATTAGTCTGCTGCTATAACCTCTAGGTTAATATACTCCTAAAGATTATAACGCTTTACTTTTACTTAGATAGCGTTAGGCTATATAAACTAATTACTATATAATTATAAAATAGTTACTTTATTATTATAGTTCTTATTAATTATTATAATAGTATTTAATTAGTAAATAGGTATATTAGTTATTATAAATATATATATTAGACTATTAATTATTAAATAGTAGGGATTATAATAGTTACTTAATTAATTCTATTATATATTCTATATTTATTATAAATTACTATAGAAATAAGAAAAACCCCTATTTCTTAGTTAGGAAATCCCTAGCTAATCCTAGTAATATTATTAGTAAAGTTACTATTAGAAGTGGGGCTAATTCACTGCCTATTCCCCGATAATTTGCTGTGGGGCAACCGTGCATTTGCTGGTGAATTCACGTGTAATTCCGCCACATTTAACAAGCCTATTACTTTTTAGATTATAAAATAAGTCTAAGCTAGTAATACTATAGTTATAGGCTAATGCTCTATATTATTATTTATATATAGCTTAAATATTATATATATACTTATACTTGTATTTAATACTACTATTGTGCTACCTTTTGCTAATAAATATGTTCTCTTATATAGTAATCTCTCTCTAATGACTCCTCCCCCCTTTACACCGCCGTAAAATCCACCCGGTCCCTGCGTTGTGACACATTCAATGCAGTGGAAGTGGCAGCAGCGGCCTAGTTTAGGTTGACCGGGTCAAAACGTCTCTCAAGGCAACCTCTAGGCTATCCGAGCTGGGTCACCCCTACCCATCTGCCATCCCACGCAGAGGTGCGCACAGGATGCCCTCACCTCATAGTATAGCCTCGGCCGCTTTCTCGAACGCAGGCACGCCGCAGTCCCAGTCGTACTACCACCATCTCAATAATCCCGACCAGGACCAGGATCAGGACCACCGATATTTGCCCCAGCAGGCCCAGCAGACCCATCGTCCGCATCCCTTGTGGACGCAGCAACAGCAGTCATACCAGAAACAGCACAGACTGTCTCGATCGTTCCCCTCGTCAACCAACCAATTGCCTGCCCCTCGCTACCACGGCACACGCTCCGACCGACCGCAGGCTCCGGTCTCATCTTCGCTTGGTAATCGTCACGACGTAGGCACAGGCACGGGCACGGGCATAGACACGAGCATATACTTTTCGCGAAAGACACCCTCACCACTTCCTCGAACTTCCTCGCTTGTCCCGCCCTTACAGCCGTCCGCGCAATTCCCGCCAACAGGGTTCGATGCCGTAACACACGAGAGCACCATCCCACACCACAGTATCGATTCCCAAGCTCCGTCATACGTTATACCCTCCACTGCACATTCACGCTCTAGTGGCATTGCTTTGTCGGCCGAGGGAGACAGAAACCTGAATCGCTGGTCTGCTTCTACAACATCGAGTCGAGACTCTGCCCAGAACCACCACGCAACCAGTTCTCACGCGCGCCGTTTAAGTGTTGATCCTTCTGCACTACTTGCACCTAGCAACACCCTCGCCAAAAGCCAGCCGCTCCAAAGACTGCTGCGAGGCAGGAGACGCTCCAGTTCGAGCGAGACATCTTGGGGAGCATATAGTAGTGGCAGCCGTTTGCGCACATACTCACCTGCCGGGCCTGCGCGCGCTGATCGTCTATCCAGTGTCTTTACGCCACATCAGCTTGACTTTCCCCTAGGTACCGAACCACCGCCCAGCGGATACGCTACGAGGCCGCCACCAGGTACATCTCGAGCTTACAAGGGCCCTTCTGGAGTCGAGAAAAACCAAGTCTGGGATGCATTCTCCGGCCAGGGCCGGAGAGGATCAGCCGAAACGGGCCTACAGCAGCTACCTTACACAGGTATGTCGTCCGATCACAATGGAGAGGCCTCTCAGGTGAGAGGCCACTCTCGTAACCGGTCCCAGACGGCCGCCAAGGGGAGTACCGACACCACCGGATCTTTGCGTGAAAGGGAAAGAGGGAACAGGCCACCGTCCCAGAAAGCCATGCTTTCCCGGGCACTCCAAAAAGCGAACACGGCGGTCCAATTAGACAATGCACAGAATTTCGAAGGCGCGAGGCATGCTTATGCAGAAGCATGCGATCTTTTGCATCAAGTCTTAGCCAGGACCTCAACCGATGAAGATAGACGGAAGCTTGAGGCGATTGTGAGTGAATATACAATCTTGAGTATAGACTGTCTAGGAACATAGCGCTGACTAGGTATCAGCGCCGAACGTACACTAGCCGCATCGAAGAGTTGGACCAGATGGCTCCCATTCAGCTAGAGTCAGAAGAAAAAGCACTGCCAGCGAGACCTGAAAGCTTGGGCCTACGCTTGAACCCCAGCTTGCAGTTTGACGATGTCGACGACCTTGAGGAGCCTGCTGGCCTTGAAACTGCGGCTCTTAACAGGATTTTGAGGGATGGAAGTCGAAGTTCACCAAATTACGGAGGCCCGGGGTTGCCCATTTCGCGGATGCAAACCCTCGGAGAACTCTCGAGAAGCTCTGCAAGGGTGCCGGAGCCTTATACTCTGCAGTCCGCGTTTTCGAGATCACCACTCCGTGATCGTGCATCAGACGAACAACTCATCTTCCAAATGCCCGCTGAGGATGCTTCTCTGCCGCCGCCGCTTTCACCGCAAAGACCTCGGTCTCCCAAACTTGATGACCGAAGCAACTCAGATGGGCCTGTGAAATCTGAATTTTTACTCACCTCAAGGCGGACTAATCAGAGTCCTCGTCACATCCGAAACTCCAGCCGAGAGTCGAACTCCTGGTTAGACCCCATTGACGAATCCGGGGGTTCCACAGCCTCATCTATCCACTCCCGACCCTCTTCTGCCATTGTGAGGCGGAAACACATTCGCTCTCCGAGCGGCGCAACCGAAGCTGAGTTTGACGCAGCATTGGATGCAGCCGTCGAAGCAGCTTATGACGATGGATACGAGCCGATGGGATTTTCGGATTCAGAAGGCCATGGATTGGACGACCCTGTTGTGGCCACAGCATTGCACAAAGTCGAGGTCGCTAAAGAACGTGTCCGGCGAAACGAAAGAGGAGCCTTTGAGCAAGCGGATGGGAGAGAACAGCGCGGACAGAGTCTATCGGAGCAACATTCCGATGAAGATGTCATACATGAAGATTTTTATGACGATGGATCTTCCGATGAGGAGGAGCGTATCCTGGAGGAAATGACGCATGACTACTCAGTAGACCAGTTTGCTTTTAACCTGGCATCTCACCAGGCTGCGGCCAGGAACTCGGGCTCTAGCGACTTGGCTGAATCGGCTTGGCAAGCGACTGTGGCATCAAGAAACACAGTAGCCGCGGATGTTTCCACGTCGCCGACCGACCCCAGTGGCACAACTCATTTTCCTGGAGCCGGAAGCCCGAAAGCTCCACCTCCATTGCAGGCCTTACCAGAAGTGCCCGTTAAAAAGTCTTTCGCGGCGACAACCTCATCGCCGGGGCCTGGGCAGAGTGTGCGAAGTAGACGGATGTCAGGGCAAAATCCCAAGCAACTAAAAATTGAGACTTCCAAGCTGTCGCAATTTGGCGACCCTGGGCGGCGGTATAGTGTTGCTCAGGCACCGAGCGGGACTCGTGGGATAGAATTCGATACTCTGGACATGACCGGCCCGGCCGAGATAAACGATACGGTCAGTCGGCCATACTCGCCGCCGGAAGGCATAAGCCCCACTCAGCCAGTACCTCCCACGCCGCCGTTCGGTCATACTAGAAGTCGGGATAGCGAGGACTTCACTGGGAGCCATTCCGGCTCGCCGTCCTTTAGGCCTCCTTTAAGGAAGAATTTCTCATCTTCGAGTCTAAGAAGCATGAAGAATCGCAACATGTCATTGTCCAACCTGGATGACGCATCTGATATATCACCTGGTACTCCATTAAGCACCGGCTTCGGCATCAACAGCAGGTACCCAGCGATGCCAACGTTGCCTACGCCCTTAGCGGCAGCTTTTAGAGACAAATTTACGTCGAGCTCTGTTGGCGGCTTATATCTCTTCGATGATAGCCTCCATTCGCCGCAGAGCCCGGGATCGCCAAATCCATTTCAGGGCGATGCCCCGGTTCCACTCGAGCCCTGTCCAACAGACTATCTGTTAAGACCATTTTGGCTGATGCGGTGCTTGTACCAGACACTGGCTCACCCCCGTGGAGGTTACTTGAGCAATAAGCTGTTTGTTCCACGAGATGTATGGAAGGTGAAAGGAGTTAAGATCCGGAACGTAGAGGACAAGGTGGCAACATGTGATTATCTCACAGCGGCGCTTCTCAAGTTGGCGAGGGTCGACACATGCGATGCCGATGCCGTACTTGAGGAGATGCAGTATTTGGAGGGTATCTTGGAACAAGTTCAAGCCAATTTGACGCGAAAGCTGGGGACCGATGTTGGCGTTCAAAATTCCAGCATGCTCTTTCGAGATGCGTCAAACTCGGCTGAGATCGAAGCAGCAATCAGCGTGCCACGTTCAGGCAGTGTTTCAGGGAAGTCCTCGTCCTTCTCGTGGCGTAGATTGCGATCCAAGAATTCGGCAGCGGGCTTAAACAACTCGTTTAACGCCAAAGGGAACGGGTTAGAAAGTGGTAAAGAATCTCCAGGCCCGGAGACGCTACCCATGACGGACCACCCAACGAGTCGCCCGTCGAAGAGAGATCCGGGCAATGCGCAATTTACAGGGCCAAACGCACATTATATGGGATCTCTCGCCCGACTGTTCGATGCTGCTCAGACAATTGGTAGGACATGTCATGTTGCTTTACTTGTGTTCCCCAAGACCACAAACTAACTGTGTATCTGTAGATCAAATCGCCCGCCAGGTCGAAGATCCTGGGTTGAGGCATGCCGACAAAACACAGGTTGGCCTTGAGCTGTGCACTCGACATGCGTCAGAGTTCTTCGGTTTTTTTATTTGCCGCTTTGTGCTATCCGATCTCAGTCTGTTGTTGGACAAGTTCATCAAGAGGGGAAGTGAGTGGGTTCTTGCATGAGATAGTCGACGGGAGGATATATTGCGACTTACATCGATGGCATGGGACGAAGCATGGACACATGGTGCAAGCGTTCAACAGAGCGACAATATGAAGTGTCATATCAGGTTTCATTATCAGTACCATCCGTAGTAGGAGGTAGTCAAAAGGGGCAATCAAGAAGGCCCTACAATAGAAACGGGGCGAGAACTCTACATGCGGGGGGATGGATCTTGGTTTTCATAGTATAGCCAGGAACTCGATGCAACAAGATACCCAAATCTTATCTGCAAAATATCAACACCCAAAAAGCTGTAGTGAAGCTGACACCTTGACCAAGGCACCCAACTGATGAGGAGTTGATGTTCGAAAGTGAGGACTGCTTTACAAGCCGTTATTGAAGGCACCTCTCCCGTCGCCAAGGGTTCTGGCCAATTGAAGCGCCGTTAAGCGCTGCAATTTGGAACCGGACCCACCCACCCACCTAAGCTTGAATCATCGGTGGTTCCTGCATCTAAGGTATCCAAAGTCCTACTTACGGCAAGCTTCACACCTTGTTATTTCTGTCACTTGACCTTTCGAACAGCAAGTTTGAGCCTGCTCGATGCTGAGAAGTACACCTTGATGCGCGGCCCCCCAGCGACGAGCGTGCGCTTTACGCGGGACCGGTTGGTCAGTGTTCCACGCCAATTGCGACAGCTTCATCAGCCTAGTCTTACCTCGGCGTTATACACTGCTGTTACTTGCAGGAACATTTCTGCACGACAGCAACAGCACTGGCCGCTGCAGCAAACCACGTCAATATGGAGTTTCTGTGAACACAGACGGTTATTCCACTGCGGCTCGCCGAGTTATGCAAAGCCTGCAGCGCCTTCACGTTCCGCCCTTGAAGAACGAATTCTTGCCATCCCTATCGAACGGTATCGAAACTTTTGTATCGTAGCTCACATCGATCATGGCAAGAGTACACTGAGCGACCGTCTGCTGGAAATCACCGGCACTATATCCGCTAGCGATGCGAACAAACAGATTCTTGTGAGTGCGTTCTACCTGCATACGATCAAGGCTAAGAAGCTGACTGAAGCCTCTCTCCTCCATAGGACAAGCTAGACGTCGAACGCGAGCGAGGTATCACAGTGAAGGCACAGACCTGCACCATGATATACAATTACAATGGAGAGGATTACCTGTTGCATCTTGTCGATACCCCTGGTCATGTCGATTTCCGAGCCGAAGTAACGCGGTCGTATGCGAGTTGCGGTGGTGCATTGCTGCTGGTCGATGCCAGTCAGGGTATACAGGCCCAAACCGTCTCCAACTTCCACCTCGCGTTTGCTCAGGACCTTGCTCTTATTCCTGTTGTCAACAAGATAGACATGCCTTCTGCCGATGTGCCCCGAGTTCTGGAGCAGATGCACACATCGTTCGAGCTGGAACCCTCTGCAGCCGTTCTCGTATCAGCCAAGACTGGCAAGAATGTGGCCAATATTCTGCCCGCAGTTGTGGAGAAGGTGCCTCATCCCGTCGGTGACATTTCTAAGCCCTTGCGGGTACTGCTGGTGGACTCATGGTACGATAACTTCCGGGGTGTCATTCTTCTTGTTCGTGTGTTCGATGGACAGGTCAAGGCCGGTGATAACCTCACCTCGTTCGCAACTGGCCATAAATACACCGTTGGTGAGGTTGGCATACAATACCCAAATCCTGTTCCACAAAGTGTTCTCCGAGCTGGACAGGTTGGCTACATCTACTTTAACCCCGGTATGAAGCGCATTCAAGATGCGAAACTTGGCGACACATTCACAACCGTTGGGTCGGAGGACATGGTCAAGCGGTATCCGGGCTTCGAGGAACCCAAGCCGATGGTTTTTGTCGCAGCATTTCCTACCGATCAGGGTGACTATACACGCCTCGCAGACAGTATCAGTCAGCTGGTTCTTAACGATAGAAGTATCACCTTGCGTAAGGATTATTCCGAGGCACTGGGAGCGGGTTGGCGGCTGGGTTTCCTCGGCAGTTTGCACTGTTCTGTCTTCCAAGATCGACTGAAGCAAGAACACGGCGCCAGCATCATCATCACCGACCCGACTGTGCCAACAAAAGTCGAATGGGCCGACGGGTCAGAGACAGTATACCAAAACCCGGCTGAATTTCCTAGTCAGGATGAACACCGGATGCGTGGTGCGACCGTCTACGAGCCGTATGTTCACTGATTCTCCCATATGCCTTGTCACCGTTCTCGCCGCTAACTTTACCTAGCTTTGTAACAGCCACAATGACTCTTCCGGAGGAGTATTTAGGCCGAGTTATAGAGCTCTGCGAAAGTGTACGCGGGGAACAGAAGAGTTTGGAGTTCTTCCACGCCACACAGGTCATCTTAAAGTATGACATACCTGCGGCTCAACTGGTTGACGATCTGTTTGGTAAATTAAAGGGCGCCACGTAAGTTACCACAATAGTGAATGACTGCGGCCTTGCACTCACACTTGGGGCAGCAAGGGATATGCAACATTAGATTACGAGGATTCTGGTTGGCGAGCCAGTCAGCTCACAAAGCTGCAACTTCTCGTCAACAAACAGCCCGTTGATGCAATCTGCCGTGTCATACACATTTCTCAGGCCGAGCGCCTTGGTAGGCAATGGGTAACCAAGTTCAAAGAACACGTCGATCGGCAAATGTTTGGTAAGCCTTGTTCCTTTATACTGTGACTTGAAGTGGTGGTCTGACGTATCTTCTTTTAGAGGTCGTCATTCAGGCGGTAGCTGGAAAACGCGTCGTTGCCCGCGAAACCATTAAACCCTTCCGAAAAGATGTGCTCGCAAAGCTTCATGCTGCTGATATTACGCGCCGAAAGAAGCTGCTGGAAAAGCAGAAGGCTGGCCGTAAACGTCTGCGTGCCGTTGGGAATGTTGTCATCGACCAGTCCGCCTTTCAGAGCTTTCTTTCCAGGTAAGAGACATGCTGCCTTAGGGGTGGCTAGCTCGGAGGATTCTGTCTAATGACAACATTTCATATGAGAGCGTCTCTGTCGTCTTAAAACATGTAAAGGTTTGATATAGTCATATTTACGACCCTCGCAATAATATCATATTCTTTACAGCAACGCACTACTTGATATCTACACGATTTACACTAGCTACCGGTTTTGTCTTCAGGATATATTTCGGGAGCTGGCAATCCAGAGCCAATGACCACGGGATCAGTCCAAGACTTGCCGAGCCCACCTCTGAGGGTTGATTCTAGCTGCCTGAGCTTTGGCGGCTGGTCGATTCTTTCGTCCTTATCTAGCTCAAACATTCTATAATCTCCATTGAAGAACCAGTGTCCCGTTACACCAAGGCGCAAGAAACCGGAATGGGAAACGACAAATATAAGTTTTTCCTTGCGTTCGTGAATGCTACGAATACCTGCCCGAGCGCGCCTCAAGATGGCTTCCTTTGTAAACGCATATTCGGCTCCAGAAAGAGATGTCTTATCTGGATATACACTATCTACGGTGGAAAAGTCGACGCTGGGAAACTCGGCCTTCAGGTTGGCGATGCTGCTGCCTGTATCACATGGTTTCGCCGAATTCTCTGGTGAAGATTAGCAAAGTGTTCCCTGATCACCTTCTCCTTTTGGAAGAATGTCTCGCGGTTCAATCATTTTTGTTGTCATCTTTACCTTGCCATCGGGCATCGGCCTGTATGTGCACACCCTTTTTGATCAACCAGTCCAGCGACAAGAGAGCGGTCTGAATCGTTCGTCTCATCGGGCTAACGATGACGAGAGCGTCCGTCTCATTGCCGAAACGCTGGAGCAAATGCTCCCTCAGCTCTTGGCACTGCTCTAAGCCCAGTGAAGACAAGTCGGGATCATGAATGTTCCAGTCCTGTGCTGACATATTAGACAATGGTGGACTCAAGTAATTGACACAGAGATGACTTATGATCGACGTTGTGGAGGGCTTGAGCATGGCGGATGAGCACTATGGTCTGCGGCATTTTGGGGACTTTGTGTAATGTGGATTGGTAGGAGAGTTTTTGATTCCCTTGATGATTCCTTTGAGGGTGAGCAATGGGGACTTTGTTAATTTCCTTCGTCACCACATCTCTGGCAGGCAACCAAGCCATGAGCGTATGAGGACGTACATAGTAAATATCATAAATCGTATGATACTAGCTGGTAACACTGTATATATATTGCATGCATACTCCATACATCCATATATTCGTAGTGGATCTCCTTCAGTAATGCAATGCGCCTCAGGTACGTACTTGTTTAGTTATAGTTACAGGCAGAGACCCGACCGAAGCTGCAGAAGTGGATATGGAGCCAAGCTAGCAGGCGTGCAGCCCGAAAGCTTCTGGGTAGTACCCCGGCAAAGCCTCTTGTCGTCAAAGCATCAAAAGCTGCTGAGCCAGCGTCAGATGGCGCATCAACAACACCCGCCAACTTTGCCCTCACTCGAACCGCCTAGTCTTATCTGCGAGTTCTAGAAAGCGTCAACATGTCCGACGTCGCAGGATTATTTAGGGTGAGTCCATTTCTCCCTCCGTACTTTGCAATCGCTTGCTGACTAGTCGCAAAAGGCTGGCGGTGCTGGAAAGAGGAAAGTTGACGCAGTACGGGATCCCAGTGAGTTGCCTCCTTATCACTCCAACGCTGTTCTGGAACCGCAACAGTCAGCTAACAGAAAGAAGATGAAATATACAAGTCAGCCAAGCTGAGCGCAGCTGATGCTGTCAGTCGACATGCGAGCGCAGAAGATACAGCAGAAGATGATGATGGTGTCACTGTCGGACCGCCACTTGCACCTGGAGATAACGAGGACGACGACTACGGACCTGAAATGCCCCCCGATGACGAAGAAGGCCGATTTTTTGGCGGAGGGATCACACAGCAAGAATCTGAGATACTCGACTACGTAGACGGCCGCGGTGAGGAGTCTAATGCCCCTGACAAGATCGACGCTGGTTGGGTCCGGAAAACGGCACTCAACTTCGAAAAGCGCATCACCAAAAACGCCGAGCTACGCGCAAAGTTCGCCGATGATCCACAAAAGTTCATTGAAAGCGAAGCTGATCTCGACGCCGCTATCAAGGACCTATCCATCTTAGCAGAACACTCCGCATTATACCCCCAGTTCGTGAAGTTAGGATGCGTTGCGAGTCTGGTTGGCTTGCTGGCCCACGAAAACACAGACATAGCTATCGATGCTGTCGAAATTATCGGCGAGCTCATTGACGAGGACGTCAATGCAGCTGACGAAGACTGGGACTCTCTCGTCGATGCGCTTTTGAATGCGGACTTGGTCGGCCTACTTGTGTCGAACTTCTCCCGTCTGAACGAGGATGATGAAGCAGATCGCAATGGCGTCTATTACGCTCTTGGAGTCATAGAGAATTTGTTGTCCAAAACGACGAACGCGGAAAAGGTGGGACAGAACACGATGCTGGTTAAATGGCTTCTGGAAAGGGCACAACGCCAGGAATTCCCGGTATCTCAAAACAAGCAGTACTCTGCGGAGCTCCTGGACATCATTGCGAACGCTTCGCCGGTGACACGGCAGAAGTTAGCTGAAATGGATGCCGTCGATGTCTTGCTGCAGCTGGTGTCGGCGTATCGTAAACGCGACCCCGAGAAAGGAGGCGAAGAGGAGGAATTCATGGAGAATCTTTTCAACGCGCTCGTTTGCATTGTAGACGAGCCGGAAGGCAAAAGACAATTCCTTGAAGCCGAAGGTATCGAACTGTGCCTGATCATGCTCAAGGAAGGCAAGATGAGCAAGCAGCCAGCGATGCGTCTTCTTGTGCATAGCGTCAACGACGATATGAACGGTGAACTTTGTCGGAAGGTGGTGGACGCCGGAGGTTTGAAAGTGCTTTTCTCAACCTTCAAAAGGACGACGCAGCAACAGCGGGTGATGACGGAGAGCCTTTTCGACATATTCAGGTCGCTGTTGCGTTTTCTGCCTGCTGATTCTGCCGAGAGAATCCGTACATTGGCCAAGTTTGTTGAAAAGGACTACGAGAAGCTGGATCGGCTCTACGAGTGCAGAACAAGATACACGTCTAGGCTCGATGCGCAGGACAGGAAGATCCAGCAGGAACGAAGTCGTCTGAGTGCCGAAGAGGTCGAGGCCTTGGAGGGCGAATGGTTTCTGAGGAGAATAGATGAAGGTCTTTACAGCGTCTGGAACATCGACGTGGTTTTAGCGTGGCTTATTGCCGAGGATGCTGGCGCGAAAAAAAAGGTACAGAGACTATTGGCCGCAGACGGCAAAGGGCTGGCGGCCATCAAGGCGACACTGGAGGAGTACCAACATGACCTTGACTTAGATAGGCCAGAGCATAAAGACCTAGCGGATATGCTCGCAACGCTCATGGACTTCTTACACTAGAGAAGGCAAACTTGAAGGGATTCAGGTTAGCTAGGTGTAATTCTAGAGATGCCACTATAACCGCCACCGGATCAAAGTGAGGTGCATCGCCGCCGAAGTTCTCGGCAGGCTAGTTGGTAAAGCTATCGTCACACTGGGTTTCTTGGCTGCTTTCTTACAACCGTGTCCACCTAAACATGTTTCTGCGGCCCTTCCGCAAGACCACCGACTTCCCTTGTGTTTACTCAAGAGGTATACCATGGTTCGGGCCTCGCACTTCAAGTATGTTCGGTTGCCATATAGGGGTTGGCATTTCTTTATGCCGCACTTGGTGCAACAGGCTTGACCTCAAAAACGGCCTTCAGGAGATCAGCGACAACCTTGTCCTGGCTCTTCTTTCCAGCATCCTTGATCTCTTTGATCTTCTCCTCGGCCTCCTTGTTCGCCTCGTCCTCGGCCGCTTTATTTCCTTGGGAGTGCTACAGGAACCCGTTAGTATTTCATCCTTATCGCCACCCTTTAATAAAAAATGAGTACCGTACCTCGGACTCGAACTTCTTGAACTCTTCCTCCTTAGAGTTGCGGTATGCTTCGATTTCCTTCTTGGCTTCGTCGCGGGCTTCCTTTACTCTCTTTGTGCGAACTAAGAAATACGGCGTGAGTATGTAGCGGTATGCTATCAGATTGATTCGAGTCGGGGGACCTACACTCTCGGGCTATGGGCGCATTTGTTAGTATGGTTGGGCTTGAATCAATGTATTCCCCGAGAGCAGCATACCTTTCTGGACAATCTTGGAGGCTTCTCTCTCCGCCTGCGTCCTCCACATTAACAACAAAGCCCATGGAGATACCCGCGAAAAGTTGTACGTACGTCCAGAAGGGTCTGGATACCGGCCGAGTTCTGAGCCGACTGCAGAGCATCAAGTCAGCATCCTGCCCGCAAGAAGAATGACGTTTCGCGTTCGCATCGGGCATCCTGACCATTGTATAGGACCGTCGTGGGTAAACTGGCAAGCGTAGGAAGAAATCGACGTCAGATGGAGGAAGAGGATTAGAAATGCCAGCCGTTGGATGTCGCGAGGTGAACAAGATGGGGAATGTGTCGATAGCTTGTAGTTGTCGACAAACACAATCAATCAGTGGGAGAGACAGCTCCAGTGGGAGGATGAGGTGCGTCGGTGTCGATACGCTAAGATTACAGTGCACTGCTGTAAGGCTTTGGGCACTGTACGCGGGTACCTACACTACACCTACCACGAAGCGTCAGAGTGGAACCAGAACCGGTCGAGACCCCCACCTAGAGTGCCCAGGTCTCATCCACTACGTAACTCTCTGTACCTACCTTAGGTAGCTGACCTACAAATATACACTCTCGGCAATGTATACGGAGTGCATATGCAGCTAACCGTCCCAGAGCCACCAACAATCATCTCTACCTGGTTGATACTTGGACTTCCGTTCTTAACACCTTGTAGCCTCGGAACTCATCTGGCGGGCAGATGCTCCTTGGGAACGAGGTTCAACCCCCGATATAAGACTACTTCGACCACGGATGTCAAGGCTGCCGCCCTCGAACTGCGTAACGACTGGACCGGCGCCCGCTCTGAAGACTCAAAATAAGGACACTTCCTGTTGACTATCATGTCCCGAGCCTCGAAACTCACCCTTGCGGCAACATCGCTCTTTGCTGCCAGCACCATCGTCGTCGTGCATTTTCAGCAAAAATTCGAGAAAGAGGCATGCACTTTTTCCATGCGAAGGCTTCACCTCACCCCATTCTTCAAAATAGCTGACCAAAGACTTGCAGGCCATGCACCAAGGAGTTGTTCGCGATATTGAACAGCAGCGCATCAAACGAGAGCGCCAACTCGACTTTGACATGCAACGCGCTCTTGAAGAAGAGTACAAACGAGAGCAGACGGTCCGAGATGTGACTGCGTCCATACCACCCGACGGCGCGGGTCGTTAGCAATAGCCCTCACAGACAATCTCCTCCTGCTCCGGCAACGAGGCTGTCGTGTTCACCGGCGGCATACCAGACGTCCTATGAAATAGCATGCTGTAAGATAGGGGCTGGATGACCTGGAGGAATAAAATGCAAGACACAGACATACGCAACTTCGACCCAAGCTAAGCTGGGAGACGAAGTGGGCACAAAGACTGATATTAGCTCCAAGCCCAATTGTTGTCGCCTTGTTCGTGCACACCATGGTAGGCCACTTACATTGCAACCTGCTTGAGCTGCTGTCGCGATGACTTTTGGTACTCTAGATACCGGAGACGACCAATATGCGAAGCAGTCATGGAGTTCAACATTGTAATGTGTATGTATATTCTCACCTGTACAATAGTATTAAATAATTGAGGCATCCAGCATCCTATTATTGAATACCTATTCTATCTATCCTTTTTTTGCTCTTTGTGATGGTACATGTCATTAGTGCAAGAAACACATAGAGACGTCCATTTGCCATTCTACCGCCCGCCAGTAATATGACTCGGGTGGCTAAAACTGTTCCCCGGCCTCCAAGACGCCAAATGCAATCACCTAGAAAGCTTCTGCCGCTGCCGTTCTAGGCCGTCCCATCTCGCACGTTGCAGCGTTTCTCGCAAGAGCCCATCTTCAGTGCCCAATCCCCTCGTGCTAGAATCCCTTTTACCTGATAGAGACTCCGGACCTGTTGGTGAACATGCGCGCTGCAATGTTCATCGACTGCAGCTCCTGGAAGAGAAGTTTCGCTGCGTAAGGAATGTGAATCTGCGCAATCTTCGTCTTGTTCTTGCATGGCCTGCACTCAAATGACTGCTTCGAGAGGTTTCTATTCTCTGGTTAGCACGCTGATCTGCTGCATGGAGGGGTGTAAGGGAAGGGAACGCTTACGCGATAGGCGTCATTAAGCCGCAAATCTCGCAAACGTGCACTCGGAATGCATCCGAGACTTCAAACAGTCTCTCCTTGAGGAAGGATGCAGCACCGTGAGCAATCATACAATCACGCTCCATCTCTCCGAAACGCAGACCACCGTCACGTGCACGGCCCTCCACCGGCTGTCTGGTCATGATTTGAACGGGGCCGCGAGCACGAGCATGGATTTTGTCATCGACCATGTGACGCAACCGCTGGTAGTATGTCGGTCCAAAGAAGACTTGGGCTCGCAACTTCCGTCCAGTGTGGCCGTTGTACATAATCTCAAACCCTCGCGACTGATATCCCTGATCCCTAAGTAGCTGCGATACTGAATCCACTGTCACGTCCGTGAAGGGGGTGGCATCACCCTCCATGCCCTTTAGGGTCGAAACCTTACTAAGCAGACACTCGATCAAGTGAGCAATGGTCATACGAGACGGAATGGCGTGGGGATTAATAATGATGTCAGGCGTGATGCCCTCGGCGGTGAAGGGCATATCCTCCTGTCGATAGGTAACACCAATGGTACCCTTCTGACCGTGACGCGACGCGAACTTGTCGCCAATCTGTGGAATCTTGGTTGTCCTAACACGGACCTTGACATAACGGAGACCGTCTTGATTAGTGGTGACAATGACCTGGTCCACGATACCGTTTTCGGTGCTTCTGAGAGGAGTAGAAGCGTCACGTTTGACGTGTTGTGTTGTCCGCTGGCCAAGTTCTGCGTTGTCCGGACTGATGGGCGACGTCTTTCCGATGATAATGTCTTCTCCCGAGACACGAACACCGGGGGCCACGATACCATCGTCGTCCAGCTTGTCATATGTACCATGCTTCAGACGCAACGTGTCACTTCTGAACGGCTTCTCAAACTGCTCGACCAGGTTGATTCCTACACGCTTCTCGCAGTCCGTGTAGGATCTGAAGAACAAACTTCTGAAAAGGCCACGATCGATGCTGCTCTGATTCATAATCACGGAATCTTCCTGGTTGTAGCCCGAGTAACAGGCAATGGCGACGATGGCGTTTTGACCGGCTGGCAGTTCTCTGAACTTTAGAAACTCCATGGATCGGGTAGTAGCGAGTGGCTTTTGAGGGTAGTAAAGAATGTTGGCCATGGTGTCCATTCTGCGTGAGTAGTTGGTCAGGAAGAAGCCCATGGCTTGCTTGCCCATGGCAGACTGGTAGGTGTTACGGGGAGACTGATTCATTGTTAGCTTACACAATAGTCAGACTATTGGTTGATTACGCACCTGGTTATGATCGGGGAAGGGAATGATACTAGCGCAGATGCCTAGCAGCATACTAGGGTGAATTTCGCAATGAGTATACATGTGAGTCGTGGGGTTGATTTTGGTCTTCAAGCGACTGTTGGGACCGTCCGCGTTGTCTTCGACCACTTGGCCTTGCTTTTGAAGCCGATAGATCTCAAGGTCTTCGGGCGTCATACAAATCATGGCCGTCTCTTCTTCTTCGGCATCGAGGTACTCAATGACTCCGCTGTGAGCAAGTGACTCCCATGTGATCTTGTCGGCTGGGTTGTCCGGCGGGTTTTCTTGCTGCTCGCGCATCTCGTTGACTGTTGCCTTTTGTAGCACAAGCGAGCCCTGAGGTACTATGCCATTTGCGCTTTGCTCCACGACAAATACGGGTCTCATGACTCTGCCGGCGTCGGAGAAGATTTTGAACTCGCGGTCTCGGATGTCACGGACAAGAGATACTTCATGAGAAATGACGTTTCGACGACGGGTACCTTGAACATCGGGTACCAAGATTCTCGGGTCCTGATGAACGCCAACCCAGACACCGTTGAGAAAGACCTTGGTTGCGTTTGGATATCTCAGGGGCTCGTACTCCTCAAGGACTTCCATACCTCGTTGGATCATGTAGTCAATGATAGGCTCAGCAGGTGTGCCTACACTGACGTAGCACATGAGTGACAAGTTCTTGACGAGACCACAGGCTTGACCTTCCGGGGTTTCAGCAGGGCACACCAATCCCCAATGGGTGTTGTGTAGTTGTCGAGGTTTCGCCAGCTTGCCGTCACGGCCGATGGGCGTGTTTGTACGACGAAGATGGGACAAAGTGGATGCGAAAGTATACCGATTCAACACCTGAGACACACCGGCGGTCGAGCTCATGGCTTTCTTCTGGTCTCCCCAGTTACCTGTGGCCAAAGAATACTTCAGGCCGTTGGAAAGGGTCTGGGGCTTGACGCCGAGTGTCAGACTAAATTGCCGGTTCGACTCGACGCAGCGCTTCAGATGGCCGGACAGCTCCTGGTTCATGCGGCGAACGATGTTGCGGAAGAGTTTGGCAAGTAGAGGACCCGCGAGATCGAGACGCTTCTTGCCAAAGTGATCACGATCATCGGTGTCACGTCGGCCCAACGCGCACTGGAGCAGCTTGTGAACCATGTAGCCCAGGAAGAACGCTTTCCGCGTCTCGCTGCCTTCGCTCTGCGAGATATGTGGCAGAGTTTCTTTCTGGAGGATGTCCTTGGCTGTCCTTACACGCTTTTCTCTCGGGATATTGTGGTTGCTGCCTCGCTTGCCGATAAAGTCGAGAGCAACCTCCCTGTCTTGAATGCAGAATGCCTCCTCGATGCATGGCCGCAACATCTCAAGCATCTGGCTATCGTTCCGGTCGTAGCAAATGTGATTGAGAATGTCCTCGTCGGAGACCACGCCCAGCGCTCGGAAGACAATGGCAATCGGCAGATCGGCCTTAACATAAGGCAGGCTGCAGTGAATAGTCTGGCCATATCCGCCCTTCGCTGCGTCGCCCTTGCTATAAAGCTTCAGCATCATGCTGGAAATCAGTCGCGAGCCCTTCTCGAGAGCACTACGAATCTCCGCCGTGTAAGAATAAGGACTCGGCTGAGCCTTCTTGAATACTTGGACGATGTTGGCGGCCGATCGTTCCTGTGCAATAAGAACCTTCTCGCTTCCATTGATGATGAAGTAGCCTCCCTGGTCGTAGGGACACTCGTTCAACATGAACAAGTCGTCTTCCTGCTCGCTGCTTAAGTGGCAAATCTTGGACTTGACCATGATGGGCATCCTTCCAATGAAGATCATGTCCTTCATGTCGTCAGATTTGTTCTTGTCGGCACCATAGTCCTCGCCACTTTCCTCCTCTTCCCACTCAAGCTTGGTGGGATGTTCGCCAGTGTTGGCGAGCTCGTCCTGCTGCTCCTCGTCGAGTTCGTTCAACGGGATGGGTTTCTCTACCGCAATCGAGACCTTCTTGGTGATCTTGACGTAGAGAGGACTCGCGTAGGTGAGGTTTCGATCACGACACTCGTATGGGAGTAACGTTGTAACTTTTCCGTCAGCTTCGGTAATAGAGGGGCGGGAGACCATGACAGTGCCAAACTTGACTTCATATCGGCGCAGGGCGATAACCTTGTCACTGTCGGACATGGGGTTCGGCTGGTCTAGGGTGATTTGGGAGTACTCGTCAATGAGTTCCTGGACGGTAGAAGAGGTGAATTCGTCAAAAGAGTCAACCTGCTGGGAAACCAGGCCCTTTGACTCAAAGAACGATGAGATGACAGTCCAGCAGTCCTCAGGCGTAATGCTGGTGTCGTCTTCATCGACGTAGCCATCGTAGTCGTATTCGTCGTAAACGTCGGCCATTTTTGCAGTTGGAGACAGCGGGGCGCGTCTTTACGGTCTATTGTATAGCACGGTAGGTCTGGTAGTTGACTTTTGTTCGAAGATTGTAATATCTGCCTTCCGCGTGTCGATGATGAAGGTGCGACTAGAGACGGGGGGTTGCGATCGATTGAGGAGTTAGTGGCAAGAGGTGGAAGACCACGATGATGATTAACAATCACGACGCAGAGCCCAGGCTGTTTTGCCTCTTCAGCTCGGTCGGAGCATTCGCGAAGGGGAAATGCAATCAAGGCCAACTGTGAGTCTTCGATGCCGGTCGATGGGGTGGTGTCGATCTATAATGCGCCGGTGTCAAGCGGTGGTGATGGGCAGGAGCGATAAACAATCAGCCTCGTTGGATGGTGGTTTTTTTTTCTCGCGCTTCCCAAATCCCGTCCGAGGCAGAAGGTAATTAGGCAAGAAGGGCCGGGAGGCTTGAGTGAACTCAGAACGCAACAGGGGGGGAGGCGACGCGCTAGTCTCTGTTAGTATAGAAGTATCACTTGGGCTGGTGGGCGTCCCGCACAAGCTCCATTGTCACGTGGTGTACTGACTAATCCATTTTGACGGCGATGACCTTGAGGTAAGAACCGATACTAGAACCACCACTGTGTCGTTGCATGCTAATATCTACCTACCCACGTGCCTATCTAGGTAGTAAGGGGGAGAAAGGACAGCAACTTTGTCCTCATTTAGGAAGCATACTCCCATCTCAAGAACAGAATGCGTCCAAGATATGCCATAGCGCTAGATCGTCCTCAAGCACATATACTCGATTTCTACTCTCTTCTTCAGTCGGTCTCAATACGCCCGCTTTCGATGCATATCAGTCGGAACCAACATAGTCAAGTGATCAACCAGATTCGGCACCGGAGCAGGATGCAGTTCGCTTCCAGGTCATAGTTCTTTGTCACAGCAGCCAGCTGTACAGTCCGAATGCTCGGTTCATGGCTTTGGGCTAGCTGTTTGTAGTATGTCGAGGTTTACATCTGCACTCTGGCTACCCTCCTGGCTGGTCCTCAAATCCTGCTTTGTCGGTTTGATGGCCAAACATCGCCAGAATCTGAACAATGTTAGATGACCACCCAGATGCGCAGCGCCAATATGCACGATACGTAAAGTTTTTCCTACAAAACTGGGATTATTCAACATTGTGAGACATGCCCGGATACGCTTATCGGAACCGTACTGCCGCTTTCCCTTCCCCATCAACTGGACCCAACTGTCGTGTCCGTCTCTCTGTGGAAAGGTTGTTGAGATCCGGGTAGATATGTGAAGGTTTTGTGATACTGAGGCCATTCTACATTGCGACCGGTGCAAAAATGCCACATGTAGCTAATCCCGCTTCGCGTTAGACTTACAGAGGCAGCCAGCTCTACATACCATCCAGATACTAGGACTGCTATAAACCATCTTGTGTATGACCCCAAAAGGCATCTGTCAACCGGCCAGTCTTGGCCTACGACAAGAACGATTTCCCTTGGATCTGTAGGTAAAGAGTGGCTGTGCAAGCGGCGGCTCTACCTACACACGCACCAATCAAGCTCCCTAGGCCGTCAACGATCTGGTATCCTTTGGTTTTGCAGCTACAGTTAGTGGCGGCACTGAGGCCAGTTGGTGCTGCAGCTGCCACGCGTGAGATCAAGCAATGGGCCCTTGGTCATGCTCTTGGACTGATACTAGGACCAGCATCACATTCACGTCCAGCAAGAAAAAAGACAAGGTCATGGTAGTGCAGTCAATCAATACCATTAAGGATGTAACTTGACTTCAGTTCATGGGTGGTTGTTAAAGCAGACTCTAGATAGTAACCTATTCAGTGACCAATTTAGCATCACAATACCTAGCGGTAGCTCAGGGATGTTTGACTGATGCACGAACGAGCTTATCCGTTTCTCAGTGCTCGCTACGGTGTGTCTCGAGCCGCAGCGAGTGCTCCTCCCTGCCTGAGAAGCTCCAAGGCGGATGCTAGTGGAGGTTCGACTGGTCTATAAATGAGAACAACCCAAGCCGGTCTTTTGCTCAGGTATGGTGCACGGAGACAGTGGGGCCAAATGAACAATGAAACAGCATTGCATGAGATGCTCAGAAGGTCTGGCGTTTCTCACTGGTGGCTCGACAGCAGACCCTGATTAACCCATCTCAGAGTGCTCCTCCGGCTATTACTGCAAATACGCGGCCGACTGTAAACCTAGTAGATACACACTACTTAGGAAATCCTACTTGCGGATTGGTACAGATTGTTAGCATTGTGTCCAAGGCATCAGTCCCATGACATTGCCTTCTAAGTCTAATTCAACAACGTCTTCAACGACCAGCACGAGGACAGCTTGCGAGTATCGACGACGTCAGTTTATCAACCAAGTTCATCAACCATATCTAAATCCTCAGCATTAGCTGCATCCACGACAGTTCCTATCTCACCGGAAGGAACGGTGCCTGCTTGGGCACAACGTAGCGCCAGCTCCAAGGGCCTCAGTATGTGCCGCTGGTGCTGCCTGCGTCTCCTCGAACCCGCTCTACCGGCAACGCCAGCCCACGGGACAATCCCAAAAGAAACGCATTGCCCATACCAACAAAATTTGGTTAGATGTCATCATTTCCGTGACTCGCACGATAGAGGCATATACCGAAGGATGTGAGACACGGTCATGGAATTCTCATCTGTCTTCCAGAGTACTCTAATAAAGACAACGGTTCTCCGGCCCTAGGCAAATGGCGTTTTTTAAATGTAAACCAAGGTCTACAGAGATAATACAATGCACCTGGCTCTAATGCGTGTTGGGTTTCACGCCAACATGGACCCCTCCACGGGCATCTCCAACAATCTTGCCGTTGCATCAGTAGTGACAAATGCCGCCGACATCATCATCGACAGTCCAAGTGCCAGCCAAGCCGCTAACCTCGACTTCAGCCTCGTGGCCAGGCTGGCCGGGCTTGCCTAGGAAGAAGTCACCCTTGCCCTCGGTTTTGACGGTCCTGCTCATGAAGCGACGAGTCCACTCCTCGATAGCGGGCTCGCCGGTCTCATCTCGAGCCTGTTTCAAGAACGGGATGAGGGCGGTTCCACCTGTGCCCTTCAGGTTTTTCTTGCCTCCAGCACTGTCCTTATTCTCATGCTGCGCGGATTGGCGCTGTCGCGAGGCGGTAGCCAGGTTGAGACGCTGACGGGCCGCCTCGGGACTCCTCGACCTGCTGCGAGCACGCACCTCGCGCGACGGCAAGATGATGTAGCGAGTGACAATGGCAATATGCTTGTCGCGAAATGCACTCAGCATGGCGAGGCAAGCGTCATATGCCAGGCAGAGGTTGCGGTCGTCCTTACGGGACTCGACAAACTCGCGAATGTTGGCAACGCCGGAAACATCCTTGAGAAAGCGGGCATGGGGGCCAGGCATATACCGGCGCATTTCCATGATGAAGTTATGGCGCGGCACCGGAGCCCGAGACTCCCGTTCCGACTCGGTTGAAGGATCCCGCTTCTCTCCGGTTGGCCGGTGGTCGATACCGAGAATGATATCAAAGAACTGAATAATACTGCTTTGGGCGTTGCTACCGCCGCTATACTGACGGTAATCTTCTTTTCCAGACCCATCGTCGTAGTTGACGCCATCAGGTAGACCGGCTTCGGCCATGTTCTTACTCCCTGCGAGAAAGGGACGAATGCGGTTATAGAAGATGCTAGGGTCGCAACTCTCGTGCATGCGCTGCAGAATGTTGGTCAAGTCGGTGAGGCGCTCAGCAAAGGTGCGCAAGCAACGGGTAACGGTAACAGCATCCCCTTGGCGGGCGGCAGCCACGGCCGTCAGCATCAGGGGGATAATGGGACCGCCGCGAGCCTCAATAGCTACCGAGACGAGATAGAACCATGACTCGTCAAGAGAACCAGTGAAAGTGTTGAGAGTGGCGATGTTTTCAAGATTGTCGATATCCTCATCGATAAATAGAGGCTTGAAGTTCCAAAGGCATAAGGCGGCGTAGGTGGCAACCGGAGGCAGCTCAAGGTGGTTGGAAACTTTGAGGAGGGGTACGGTGATGGCGGGCGGCAAATGTTCGCATGGCTCGTCGCCGCCCCAGATGTAGGCGTGTGCCATGAAGCACAGCAGGGAATACGCCCTCCGCCATTCTGCGTCATGTTCCAGACCGATGGTGGAGAGGACAGGCAACCGGTCGACGACTGGGCGAAGCCGACGACTGAGGACGAGTGCCTGGAGGTTGGCAACGACGGCCTCCCACTTGTTATAGTAGGGATCTGGCAGTCGAGTCAACGGGAGAACGTCCGGTAGGAAACCATGGGTTGGAGAGATTCCATAGTCGGACAAAACGGGGATAGGAGGGAGCATAATGGATATGCGGTTGCTTGTGTACGGCAACTTTCTTTCGATTGGAGCCGAGGTTGAGGTGTAAAGCAAGATTTAGGTTGAGGGAGTTGTTTGACGGCAGTGAATCGAGGTGATTGAAGAGATGTGGTTTGCGGTGCAGTAGACAGTATTCAATAAGGTCCTGACGCAAGGAGTACCCAGGTGAAGCTGGAATACTCCTCAGCCTTGCGAAAGATCCTTGAAACTGCAAGCATTCGATGGGGAAGACTCGGATCAAGTTGTGAGGACTCTTTTGCTTTTTGGGGAGCCAGAGTTGTTGATGATGACCGTGACAGAAGAAGTGAGAGTAACGACGGCACAAAGAAAGTGAGTGGGGCTTGTATTATTAATGCGCGCAACAGTCCTTATTCGGCTATGTGGGATTCAACACTGAGTAGGTAGAAGAAAGGTTTCCAGGGGTTTCCTTGTGCGCAAATCCGCACTTGGAAAAAAGGCACGTACAAAACGGATGACTTATGACACGGCGGAGACTGAGCTGTACTTGACTAGCAAAGCTGAGTGGTCGCGCCGCGTGTTTGGAGGGGTTGGACCGCGCAATTTGAAACATACATTTCGGCGCCAGTAGGTAATTATCTAGGTAGTTGACGGTACATGTCCTGGCTTAGCGGAGTGCTTGTGCCTTTGAATTTTTTCGCGTGAGCGTTTGCAACCAAATTACCTAGCTAAGTGCCGCAGCCGTTCGTTGTACCCGGGTAGGTAGGGTTGACGATGAGAAAGTGTAACGAGTTACAGGTCCGACTCCGGCCGGACTAGCGGCTATGCAGCAGATAGAAAATGGCCACGGTAATCTGCCGGGAGGACGGCCAGAAGGCGAAACTGCAACGGGCAAATGGCCCCATGCGAGGTACGGACGATCTGCCTTTCAGAGTGTTTTGTGTTTGAGTAATTTAACCCTCTATTCCTTCGCAACCACGGAGTCCTTTTCTCATCGCGACGTCATGGTGTATGCCTTTTCTTGAGATTCCCTCGACGTTGATCACTGTAATCAGGCATTGCCATTATCTACGTTACTCTGCTTCCGTGATTCGCCATTGAGCGTGGTCTGGCATGGTGCATAGCTGTCAATGATTTGAACCATGCTTCCACAAGCCTGATCAAACGGGACGAATTGATGGATTGTGCGCATTATTTAACGAGAGGAGTATAAACGAGTGGCTGTCCGCATACCGGTTTCTGGTGGTGATGAGACAGTCCGAGAGTGAAAGCTTTGAAAATGATTTACAATTGGGTGAAGCGTAAAAGGCAGGCGCCAGGGAGGAAAGAGGGATGACACCACCCATGACTGACTCCCCTTTGGGGTTGTGTAACAAACCAACGCCCCACTATGGCCAAGCTACCTAGGTACTTGTATGCGTCATCTGGAGACGGATCTCAATGCGCCGGCGCCCAACCACCGATCCCCGAGCTCCAACATCCACCTCTCCCGCCCGCCCGCCCGCACCGTTCGGCCGTGCTTCAGCGACACCACCAACTTGACGGAAGGTGATTGACGCCGCCTCCTCCCCCGCTGTCCGACGACCTCTGTTGCTGCTGTCTTGCGACCGACTCGATTGGGGTTCCTCCCCCCCTATCGCCTCGCGCTCTCCGTTGAACCACACCACACTGGGCTTCAGGATCCTCACGACATGCATTCATAATCGGGCTTTGCCTGTCACATCTCCGCTTCCGCTTGGCCCTCGGTGCTTCTCCCACAGCCCGCTCATCCCTCCTCTGGGTTTGCCTGAGCTCTCCTCTGCCTTAGCCCTTAACCCTTACTCGTCACCACAATGCCCGTTCCGCAACATGTCTTGAATTGGCTCTACAGCGTTCTCACCAGCGTAACTATTCCCCTTCCTACTTGCCGTTGCCTTCGTTCCCTAACTAATGCGCCGCCTCTCTCAGGAATATCAAGATGTGAACCGTACCTACAATGATATTGCACAGACGCTCTCTCATTACCCTTCTTTGTCGCCGCGCACCGATGTCCACAGTATGCCCTCTCGGATTTGGATCACAGCCTCGTTGAGAACTACCGCTGATGGTGTATCTAGCCTTCGACAATGGCGCCTCTGCACTCCTCGTCCACCTCTCTGGCACCATACCCGTTATCTTCAGGGGCACAACATACCGCTTCCCCATCTCAATATGGGTTCCTCATGCCTATCCTCGAGACGCGCCGCTAGTCTACGTGACGCCCACCGAGACCATGATGGTACGGCCCGGTCAGCATGTAGACCCCCAAGGGCAGGTATACCACCCATATCTTGTAGGCTGGGCCGCCTTCTGGGATGTACGTCATCTCCGCCTCTAAATTTTCCTTCGCAGCTCATATCTGACTCTTCAAAACCTAGAAATCCACGATTTTAGACTTCGTCGCTATATTGAGGGACATCTTCGCCAAGGAACCACCAGTCATCGCCCGACAGCCAGGTCAACAGCAGCCTCCCCCACCTGCTGCTCCTCCTTCACAGTCGCGTGACCAAATACCTCCTCCCCTCCCCCCCCTCCCCCCTGACCTAGCTCATCGTCCAGCCAGCCGTCCGCCGACCCAAATATCGACAGGGTCTCCACGGCCTCCACCTCCGCCGCCAAAAACCTCCGGCCCTGAGCCCCCATACCGAAGCCCTCCACCACCGATTGATGCAAGACACGGTCCCCCTCTGCCTCCTTTGCCCCCCGGTGCCGAACATGCATCTATCCACGGAGGTTATAGCACCAGCCATTCACCCCGGCTTCAGAGCCAAAGCTACTCCCGTTATGACTCGGCACCGCCTCTACCCCCGACTCCTACCTCGCATCCTCCGCAGCCACCATCAGCTTTGCCTCCACGCTTGACAGGTGACTTCCAGCAGCACCAACCTTGCCACGATGCTGCTTCTCGATCGCCTGTCCCTGGGGCGGAATCTAGCCGTTCTGTCACCCCCCTGCCCCACCAGCAAGGTGCTCCCCCTCCTGTATGGCAACCGGCTGGGCAATATCAGGCACAGTTACAACAGCAAGAGCTGCAACTACGACACCAGCTACCGCCGCAACAAAAAATAGCAAAGCCAGCGCCGCCCCCAGATCTGCTCGATGAGCCTCTAACCTTGAGCATTCCTTCACCGTCTTCCGTCCCCGCTCCGCCGATACCTCCAAACCCCGAGAAAGACGCCTTGCTACACCAACTCGCACAGACACTCCACTCTCTTCGTCAACGTAGCCGACAACAGAACGAAACCAGTATGGCAGGCCTGCAGGCGCAGCGTACTGCCATGGTATCTGCCTTCTCGACATTGCAATCAGAGATAGGTACCCTTGGTCAAACGTCGGCTCTGCTTCAGTCCAACGCCAACATCCTAATGGAAGCGCTGCGAAAGGCTGACTCTGTCATTGAGGGGTCGTCATGCCAGACTGCCCCTGATATTGATGAGCTGTTAGTCGCACCCACAGTCGTCGCTAATCAGCTCTATGCGCTGGTAGCTGAGGAGAAGGCAATGGGGGACACCATTTTCGTGTTGGGCCGGGCTGTTGAACGAGGCAGAATCTCTCCTGCCGTCTTTGCCAAGACGACACGGTCCCTTGCCCGGGAGTGGTATTTGAAGAAGGCATTGGTTCGCAAGATAGGGAAAGGGATGGGACTAACAGCATAGCGGCATAAGCCTTGTGCTTTGGTCCACGCGTAGCGCTCAGTATCTTGTACACTCGGACACAAATGGCATTTATACAACTTCTCAACTTTACATTTGCCTAATGCTATCTTGGCCGACTACGTTCAGTGCATGCCATCCATAGTACGCATGATCTTGGCCTCCAAGCCCCCTTTCCTGAATGAAAGAAAAATTGCACTTACAACTATTTGCGTCAATACCCTCTCAGCTAGGATAATACATTTATAATACCCTGGTATCCCTATCGTTAATCGACTCAAGCGGTTCGGCACCTGACCCGGAATATTGATGGCTCAAACCCAAAGGCTCGGCACTTTTTTTTTCTCACTTCTCCACGCCTCCTGGACCTCAGTCTTCTCTTTTGCGTAGGTTCTTCCGTGAAAAAGACAGCCCGTGCAATGTCCTCGGATTATTGTGACTCCAAGTCATTGACTGGCTGTGTTGAAATCAGCCTTTCCCGGTCACGAGGTAACCTTCGGAAGGACTTAGGAGTCGTTACTCTTTAAGCACGGCGTCTTAATTTCTTGGTTATTTCGCCCTAATCTGTGGTGATGTTACTTCTCACAGACAATCTCCCGCCGGTGTAGGCATCAAACATGCAGAATACTGCCTTAGCGGCTGGTCGTGCTCTGAGGCTTCGAGACTATCATGACCCATTGCCTGCAGCCTCCGACGAGACTAAGGTTCGAGTTTGTGACCAGTTCCTCACAATCCATGGCGCCGTTATCGACGACGACCATTGCTGACGTCAGTCTCTCAGTGTTACTTACATGTCCCTCCTGCTTCATTCATAACTTAAGGAGCTGCTTATGTCAAACGACAGAGACATGTCAGCGACTTGAATTTGAGAACCTTGCAACAGCTCCAGCTTATAGATTCTCTGAGTAAGAATGATATTGTTGAGTCTCAGCATACGGCTGCTGACAGATCAATTATGTGACTCGGACGCTGAGGTGTAACCTCGCTCAAATATTTCTAAACTTTTTTATTTCTTTAGGTATCCTATGTTGATTAATGCGCGCTGGTTCTTTGCAGGGGATTGGTGGATTGTGGATTCACTGTCGCACTGCGTGTTTTCCTTGAGTGTAGAGCATAGAGTGTCAAACAAGCTTAGGATAAATAGCCTCAGGGACGAGTGTTTTTTTTGTGATTTCCTTGAACAAGAAGCGGTTGAACATTTATCCTCATTGGATGCCTGCACTCGAAGAGAAAGGTCTGACTTGGTGTTACTACAATATCTGCCATTTCATCCTTTGTAGCTCGGTATCACTCCCCCACCCATGAACCTCACACGACAAGAATGGCAAATGTTCAATGGGTGCATGTGAACAATATTCGGAGTTGGCAAAATATGATAAGTACGGTCAGAAACAACGCTGCCCTCAAACTGGACAAAGCAAAGTGGTTCAAAAACGAAACCCATGTAAACAGGCGACGGTTGACCCAATTGCTCGATAGCTTCCTTGCTTACAATCGCACCATTGATTTCCTCCTATCGCAACGCTCACCATACTCCTAGGGTGAGCCTTTCTAGGAAGAAAGTCGGACAGCGGGAGATCTGATCTCCCGTTAAACTCTACCCGTCAGCTCATTTGGATATTCTCATCTTAGATCGAAGAATCGCTGATGCGCTGCAGCTTAGTCTCGATCGAACTAGGGAAGTCGACGCGGTCACAGGAATGCACACCGTGTGGTTCAATAAACGAAGTGGTGGTGCCTTGGACGTTCCCGGAAACGTGGCCATTCTACCACTGGTCAAGCTTTGACGGGCGTCTTGGGATGGGCTGTGAAGAAATTCCACTACATATCCGTGTGGGACACGCTGCACGAGATTCGGGAGGTAGATGAGGTCCCTATTGGCAAGATGATTATGACCGAGGTACAGAGCAGAGAGTCTGGCTCCAATACAATTCAGTTGCCTCATTCCAGGGCTGTGAATATAATTCACCGCCTGCCAAAGAGGAGAGCCGATGGGCATAGTAACACAGACCAGTAAAGGCCACTTCTAGAGACTTGTTGACCAGAACCAATGTCTGTATGCTGATCGACATCTGTATCAGGACATGAAAACTGACAGAGATGGCTTCTGGCATGACAGTGTGGTGGTAGTCTGCCGGAATAGTACAGGTGTAGTGCTAAACAGGCGTGTGAACTTACTCGTGCAGTGCCCGTTTCATTCGGAAACGGGAACGAATGTTTGGCCTAGAACGACCCAGTAATCAATTTCTTGGCAATTCTCGTTAGAAACGTGCGACCAGACTCGCTGCTTCAATGTCAGCCTGCCCGAGAAGCCGAAACAGGAGGGAATGGTAACCTTTGCAAGTGTGCTCAGTTGACCCTAGCTCTGTGATCTCGTGGTTCCTTGGCTAAGTGTGGCTAAACGAGATCTGCCTCGTCGTGTATAGAAAAAGCGGAACGATCAACAGTGAATGCAGTGCTAACACTCAGACAGCGACCGGCCCGAGGATGTCTATGAGACCCACGCCGTCAGATTAAGCGTAAGCCGTTCTCAAAAGCCTGTAGCTGGGCTAGCTCAGAAGATAGGCCGTAGCAAGTGGAACATTGACGGATGAGGCGCACGGGGGAAGTTTGGAAGACAAGCCGCCACGGAATCTCCATTAATTCCAAAAGCAAAGAAGTATGACGCTAGAAAGACGGTCAGGAAGGGTTGGCATATACCCCCGTGCACCCGGCTCCGGCTCCGTTAAGATCCACTTACGCTACCGATTCTGTAGGCCCGTAACCCCGTAACCTCACTTCCGACTCGGAGGCATAAACCAAAGTGCTCCGGCGCAACGGGTCTTTACCAGTTTGTCGGGAAACCGGGCAGTTTTTTAGAAACTAGACAATCTGTGCAATAGGTACAATGTAAGTGCCGGTAGGTGTCGGTGCAGAGCCCTGTCTTTCTGTCTCACCCAAATCCCCAAACTGTCACCTCGTCCCATTTTCTGTTTCGGCGCCAGGATAAGGAACAATAAATACGAAAACGTTTTCCAGCCGTCAAATTTTAAAATTTCCGGAAACAGATTGCCGAGGCGGAAAAGCTCATATGGTACAAGAAGATGGCTTGCCGAGACCGCGGCAGCTAACCTCAGAGCAAGACTGAGAGATACTGCATGTCTCACGTCGATGCTTGAGCTGACAGCCTACTTGCCACATGCTCATCCAACACCCCTTGCTTCCAAGTTTCCCGTTGATGACTAGCCTGGAACCAATTTCTCACGAGGCACATCCAGACTGCACTCTTTCAGATTTGGACTGAAACCTAATGCCAATTCCGGTGGCCATGGAATGATGGCTGACAAACATGACGCGCCTTCCACCCAAAAGCTAACGAGTCGACGGATGCTTGCATGGCGAGGAGAAGTAGCAAGCCAAAAAGGGCCTCTCTTATGTCCCCAAAAGTCCGTCATGTCTAAGACAGTCAAACCCGAAGCTCCAAGCTTTGTTGGTACTGGTCTCGCTTTGCGGAGCCCATTCGTTTACCATGAACGGAACAGACCTCGCTCATGCAGGATCTCGGCATGCGCTAGATCTTGTCTTGTAGCACCTATTGTTGAAGTGTTGTTTTTGTGTTACCAGCTTAATGGAAAGAAATTAGAGATAATGCTGTCATGTCTGGCCTGGAGGTCGGAAGCCGAACGGAACACATTTCTCTTTTGGGTAAAGAGCTTTATGTAGGAGCTTCTCTTGCGACAGCCTCTCTGTCTGTGCCATCAGTCGGAGCCGCCTCCAATGAACCCCGGCGTCCAGTCGAACCTCCTAAGGTGTCGGCGCCATCTTGCGACGCCATTTTGGATTCAAATTGCCGAGTCAGGAAATGCTTTCAGTCTAGCCTCAGCCCGCTCGTCATGTTTCTCCGCTTACCAGTCCCCCCCAAGGGCAGGCCGAGTTCACAGTATGGGCCTGTATGGGCCCATCCATCACGGCCGCAATGATGTAAGGCTTCGTCAAGCTTGGCCTGGACCATGGTTTATGGCAGGTGGGTATGCGGAACTTGAGGGCGACGAGGGAGACGCCGAAGCGAAAATAATAAAAAACCTCGTCACATCCACTTCACGTATAGTATCATTTTCGTGCTCTCCAATTGCTTATCACGTATTGCACCCACCTTTTTTTCTTTCTTTTCAGTTCAGCTCATCCCTCGAAGCCTTCAGCTCTTAGCTCTGTTTAAGCCTACCGCTTTGCTGGCAGACTTGGAAAGGTTCGCGCGATATTGCGGGCCAATTGCTTGATTTATTCGGGCTGCTCCTTTTATCTCCTCGAACCTTCCTTCATCCTGTTCCTATCGCTACCGCCCGTTACAGCTTTTGTTTCTGCGCACAATGAGGGCAGCCGAAAGGCTTTTCGTTGGGATCTGGGCAGTCGGCCATGCAGCAGCCTTCTTTATCATGCCTTGTTCTAAACCAGTGGTTGTTGAACGTGCCGATCCCATCGTCAACCCGGGAGCTCTTGCTGGACATGTCCACACCATCATGGGCGGCAACGGCTTTGACTTCAGCATGACCTATGAGCAGGCTCGCTCCGCAAGTTGTTCAACTTGCAAAGTCACTGCGGACTTAAGCAATTACTGGATCCCGACTCTCTATTACCAAGGGCAAGACGGCAAATTCACCAGCGTTTCTCAGTCCGGAGGCATGCTAGCCTATTACTTGTAAGTGGTAGTCCGGTGCAGTAAATGGCGACGCGATTGTGGTTGACCAAAGGCTTCTAGGTTTCGGCAAGACCCAAAAGATCCCGAGTACAACAACGGGCTTATAGCATTCCCCAAGGGCTTTCGTATGCTGGCTGGCGACCCCAAGCTCCGAAGCTTCAATAATACCCTAGAGCAGCGAGGTATTACATACGTGTGCTTGGGGAATGGCGGCCCCCAGACCAATGGGTTTCCTACACGCAACTGTCCCAATGGATTGCGACTTCAAGTCTTGTTTCCATCGTGCTGGGACGGCGTAAACCTGGATTCTCCTGACCACAAAAGTCACATGGCTTACCCAGGGGGGTTGGACAACGGCATATGCCCGTCAAGCCACCCCAAAAGATTCCCAACGTTAGGCACATCCTAGGAGCTGTTATCCGAGCAATACTAAACCCTCTCAGTCTGTTTTACGAGGTCATCTTCAACGTCAACGAGTTCAAGGACATGTGGTATGGCGAAAGTGGCACCCAGCCGTTCGTATTGTCCAATGGGTCAGTTCCCTTTCTCAGTTTGGCGAGGGGCACTATTGCTGACGCTGTACAGCGACCCGACAGGTTATGGTCTCCACGGCGATTTTGTCAACGGATGGGACGTCAATGTGCTCCAGGCTGCCCTCACACAATGCAAGGATGGCGGAGGCAGTATCGAAAAATGCACAGTATTCCAGTTCTTTGACGATGAGACAAGAAGGAACTGTCAAGTTCCAGTCAAAGTGGATGAGAGAGTACAGGGCCAGCTTGACAAGTTGCCAGGCTGTAATAGCATTCAGCGCGGCCCTGGCAATGCTCAGTCGGAATCAGGGTGTGGTGCAACAACTGAGATTTCGCAGCCCCAATGGGGATACAAGGACGTAACGAGCACGCTAAATTACAAGTATCTTGGCTGTGCCCGCGACCCGTCGGGCCAGGGTCGAACTCTTCCGAGCGCGAAGACGTCTAGCGATAGCATGACGGTTGATACCTGCATCAAGCATTGCGATGGAAAAGGCTTTGCATATGCGGGTCTGTCCTACGCAAAAGAATGCTGGTGTGGTAACTCGGTCGCTGATGATCGCATGCCCAAGAAGGGACTGTGGGGTGGATGCAACATGCCTTGTTCGGGTAGCCCGAGTGAGATGTGTGGTGGATGGGCTGCCCTTTCGCTCTACCAGAAGTGCGACGGAACTTGCCAAAATGCGGAGTTAATGTGAGGGTGATATCTGGCGGAACTATGGGGGCGAGAGCTGTCTGTATTTCATCAGTTATAGTACAACTTGCTCATGGATAAGCGCCTAGAGCATCTCAGCTTCATTCGTATTGCCTTAGCCTGATTACTGTCACCGTCGTCTACGTGTACCCTGTCGTATTACCAGACTAAGTTTGTCGCCTCCTCACTCTTTGAGCCCGACGCGTGTTGGGAAGCAGCATGGTGTTATCGATCAATTCCATGAACCCCCGCCAACATGGTCTCCAATATGATCAAGGCATGCAGTGCATGAGAGTGAGATTCATTAACTTATGAGGCGTAGGCCGTATACCCGAGATATCGCTAGGCCTCGGGTGATATTCCCTATATCCTCGAGGCTACTCGTCTTTCAACTATTGTACAGCCAGCTTTCTTTCGCGGCAACAAGAACGTGATTATACATGGATCGTCATTCGGCAATTGACGGAATCGTTTATTGACTACAAAAAGGACATTAGCAATGGTTACAAACACCGATTGTTATCGGGGAGGGCTCACGGTGGAAGAAGAACCTCGCCCCAGGAGCTCGAGAGAAAGGTCACGGCAGCCTAAGAACTCATGTTAGCAAGCCCGGCGTGAAGAAAGCTCGAAAATTGCGGAGTTACTCACGCCAAAGATGGCAATACTACGGACAATGGGCGCATTCTCGGACGAGGTCAGAGCATCGTAGGTTGATCTGAAGTAGCCCTTGGGCTGGCGGGAGCGCGGGCTGGCTCTTTCGACGACAACTCTTTTGGGAGGCATGTTGACTTTTCGATGTGAGGCGTAAAGAGAAAAGATTTAGGATCGAGTATCGGATATTGGAGAGCGTTGACGTCGTGGAGAGGGAAACGGACAAATCTTTCCTTGCTCGTGATGTGAAGTTGAAGTCGGGCCAGCTGCACGAAAGAAGCTTAGACAGTACGGGAGCCAAATTTTTTGACCGAGCTGGACGTCAGACGTACGTACACAAGCCACGGTTCCGTCTGCGTGGGCCCGATAGATGTGGCTCAGTTCTGCTGACCTAATACATCAAGTTCCAGTCCCAAGCAGGCCAAGTCAGCGCGCTCAGTGCGCTCAGTGCGCTCAGTAAGGTGCTTGCAGGAAGTGGCGCCTAGGTAGGTGTGAGGTATCCGTACTACCAACCCACCTACCTAGGTAGGTAGGTAGATTTGGGCTGTTGCTGCATTTTTCTTTTCCGTCAACACCTTGCAATCCAAAGGGCTTAAGTCCCATAAAGCTCATCACGCTGACGATGTGAAAGGCATCATCACGACCATATCCATCAGCAGGTACACGTCAAGACCATGGCTGATGCTTCGCAGCCGCCGGAGCCAGGTGGCTTCTTTCCATCTCAAACTCTCCCATCACCTGCTCCCAGCAGCACCTCCGCCCGCCCCAGTGCGCTTCTTCCGCATCCTCGTGCCAGGTCGCTCCGACCCGGATCGAACAAGGAAGAGACAGTCCGTAGATATGTTGAGGAACGACTGGCCATGATCAATCGTCGCTATGTCAAGAAGCACGGAAATCCAGAGCCTGGTGATCAGGTCGTCGGTTACAAAACCTTTGCCGAGCTTTGCAACGACCTGCACGGCGTCGTTGACGTCCTGTGGTTGTCCGGAACTCGTGAGGACCCCCCCACCCCCAAGAGTTCGCTGGACAAAAGTGTCCTGCATGCCTTGAGATACCAACTCTGACTCGTTTCTGCAGCGAGTATACAGATCCCCTTCCTCCTCAACATAGCCAGTGATTTTACACAGTGGATTGACGCATTTCCATCTTCTCCCAAAGCTACGTTTTCAATCTTGAAGAAGCTGGATCATTGTTTTGCAAGCATCCTTACCGGCCGCGACATAGAGACAAAAGATACGCTACCCGGCTTTGAGAACGGCATGAGAGCAGGCATGTCTACGACAGATATGGTCCGTTGTCGGAGTTCCGTGGAACAGACCAGGTTGGTCATTGTCGAGGTCCTTAGCAAGAAGCCGGATGAGGACGACGAGATGGAGGAGACTGAAAGTGAGACGGACGTCACAATGGATAACAACACTGAGAATGACGACGCAGTCGACCCGGTATGGGATGGAGACGACGACGGATTCTACCTGGACGCAACACGAGTCTATGAGCTTACCATTGTCCAACTGGGTGAGAGGTTGGGTGACGTCTTTGGACCCGCGGTCCCGGGTGCGAGCAACAACGCTCTTTGCTCTGCGGCCCCATGATAGCTTACAATTGACTCGGCGCTCTCAGGCTCCTGTGATTCTGTATGCGACGACGCGATGCCCGGCCCCATGAAATCAAGTCACCATGGTCCGGTCCCTCCCACATGTATGTATGGCTGGCTGGTTCTCACACCGTCGCCAATAGGATTGCGAACGGGGAACGCATCATCTCGGCGCGACACTTGCCACTCCTATTACAAAACAAAGAGTAAAGCTCGTCTCTCAACAAACGCGAGAGATGACATGATCTCGGCCCACATGGAAGTCTTCACGTGTCGACCGGCAGGCAGAGGCCGGGCTCCGTGGCGGCTGGTACACAGGATGTGCCAGGTTAGTAATTGCAAATAGATGCTGCGCGGCCAATCTTTCTCTCAGCACCAGATGCGCGACACACTGTTGGTCGGTTCACCCAAGGAGGACAGAGCAGCTCATCCCTATTAGTGACCGCTCTGGTTCTAAGGACGGTGATCATGTCTCACTGGTAGAGGTGGCAAACGGTTGCTGGCACCGGCGAAGGAGTTGAAGACATGCGTAAGCCCGACTCTTTGATTCCTGAGGACCTTTGCCTCGGTACCTACATGAGCTCGACCGAGAGTCCCAAGGAGGGATTCTCTGGGTATTCCCACGATCTTTGAGGTGGCGCAGGATACGTTCATGTGTTTGGCCTGAGTGAACCCTGCCAGAACCCCTGTCGCCTGGTGACCTGGTGTCTCAGAACATGCAATGCCGGTCCAAACATTAGAGAGCCATGCTTCTGCGCCGTTGCATGGCATGGAAAACCCCCACGCTCCTCTTTGCCTTGGAGGGAGCAGAAAACACACTGTGCTTTGTCAAATGAATGAAGTCGTCAACTTTGGCGTTAGCTTGCTGCAGAGCTAGGAGGGTTTGAGGGTCAGCAGGTTGCTTTGCATCTTTGCACTCATGTAGATATCCGAAGGCCTAGTTGACAGCAGGTATTCGTTTGACGGATTTCTCGATGGAACATTCCCACTTCCATGCTTCACAACAACTACAGCTAGCCAATTCTTGAGCTCTCTTATCAGACACCCTAAATCCATATTCTCTGGGTTTCCCGTCCATTTTCCAAACTAGTGTAGGTAGATGGTTAGGAACCAATTCTCAGCTGCTGGTGGAGATGATGCCCCTGAATAAAGATTATGTGTTCCATGCTCTACATACAAAATACCAATCATAGCGGCTGGCCAATGCACCCATCGGGAGTCGATCCTTGGCGTGGATGTGTGGCCGCCTATTGGGTCTCGTCCCATCTATATGTACGACGTACATAATCCACGCACCCTGGCCCCTATCATCCCGTCTTTCCTACTCCCGTATGGCCCATGTCCATATCATGCATCCATTCCTACGTCTATCGTACCTGAGCCGCATTTGCACGCGTCTATTCCAGACACAAGAAATATCCCTGGTTCGCATCTTGGCATGCTCTCGACCTTTGCCAATCCTTGTCTCTTGCGGCGGCTGTGGCCATGTCCGGTGCAAATCAGGGCTCCCTAGCATCCCCCGTCAGCCTCTGGCCATGCCTCCCTCCCATCGCCACCGCCCCAACCTCAACCTGCGACCCCGTTTACTTACTTACTACCGACTGTCTGCAGCCCACATACAAGCCCCTTTTCGGCCATTCTCGAGCCACCACCTGGATTCCAAGAAACATGGGCTTGGCCCAAGCAGCCTGTGCCAAGTTGCCCTGCGGCCTGTCGTCACCGCCCGCCCACCTGGAGTGTTCCCAGCTTCTGGGCGTTTCATCCTTTGCTCTCCACATTAAATCTCTCCCCTCCGTCTTACTGGTCTTTGTCTCGAGCATGAGCGAGGATGGCTGTGCAATGAGCGTCTTCGTCAGACATCCCTTGATGCCCTGTCTTCTTGTGAAGGGCAGGGGTGGGCGTTGTGTTCAACCATACGACCTGGCCCACGCCGTCCAGCCAGTTCCTGTCTGCATTATGGTATATATGCGTAGCCCAGCCTTGTGAGTAGTCGGTCGGTTCTGCTTTCGCCGCCTCTCTCGTTCTCTACCACACTTACGTTCACTCACTAGGCCAAGTGCCGTTCCATTCATTTCTTGGTGATTCAAGTCAATTCAGACATCATCGTCCATTCTTTTCCACTTGTCAGCTTTTGCAAGTGACCGATCCTCAGTACTCTGGACAGACGAGATTTATACAAGCGTTATCCATTATACATTCTTTTACTACACTTGTTGGCCCAAGATACCTTCACATCAGAATGATTTCCACAACAGCCAGCCTTCTCCTGGCTCTCCTGCCTGTTGTCACGGCTCTCGTGCCTCCCCCGGCAGATGGCATGAACATCATCTGGTCAGAAACATTCCAAGGCAACGCCGGATCACCACCTCGACGCGACACCTGGGACGTGGCCTTGGCCATCGACACGAACAACGAGGTCCAGACTTACACAGAATCCTCCTGGAACGTTCAAATATCCGGCGGCGAAACAATTCAGCTCATCCCCCGCAGATCGGCCAGCGGCGTCTGGACATCTGCGCGCATCGAAACCAAGGCAGCGTGGACCCCTCAACCCGGAGGAAGGATGAGAGTACAGTCCATGTTTAGGATGGGCGAGAACGCAAATAAGCAGGGCATGTGGCCCGCGTTCTGGATGCTTGGCGATGCTGTTCGCCACGGAGTCCAATGGCCCCTCTGTGGCGAGCTCGACATCTTTGAGCAGATCAACGGCCAACTCTCCGCAACGGGCACCGTCCACTGCCAACAGGAGGTTGGTGGCATCTGCAACGAGCCTGCCGGGCGCGGAGTAGCCACTTCCCTTCCCGACAACGGCTGGCACACATGGGCCTTGGAATGGGATCGAACTTCGAACAACTGGGCCACGGAGACCATCACATGGATGCGCGACGGTGTCGTATTCAACCAGCTCAGGGGTAGCGATATTGGGGATGAGGGTATTTGGGCGACGCTCGCTCACATGCCCTACTACGTGCTGATGAATGTGGCAGTTGGTATGTTATCTTTTCTGTAGATGCCGTCATTTCTGGGCAGTTGCTAATCATACACACCAGGCGGCACATTGCCGGGCCCCCCTACCGATGCCACACAAGATGGCTACGGTAGCATGATGGAGATTGGTTATCTTGCCATCTACCAGTCCCCATAATCGTCATGACATCATCTTCCGTCTTTACCACGAGACCTACCTAGCATTCGCACCGTTCTGGGCATAGTTGGTACCGCAGCTGCAGCACGATATGTCAATTCCGAAACCACACCAGGGTGGCTGCCATCGCAATGTCGAAAGCACGTAACCGAATACCGTAGCATGTCTCTCTTCCCCAAATCGTTGGGCAAAATTCTCTTGCCTCTCTTAGTATATACCCCTTACGATAGCGACGTACAGCGGCTTCTTTCCCCCTTTACATTCCGGCCTTACCGTACACACGCGCACAAGACAGCGCAGATGGATGAAACAATGGACATTACGTGTTCCGCAAGTCGGCGTTGATTTCATACTGAGTCAGTGTTGAGGACGGTGGGTGAATCTCGACATGGCATAATCATAGGCCTGTGATCCATTATAAGTCCCGTTGTATTCTCAAAGGATTATTCGTGAATATTGTATCGAACCAAGGACTGAGCTGGTATGTAACATGGCCAACGACTAGGGCTGCAGGTGTATCGCCAGGGAGGCATCTAGGCCTTTGAACACCCCACCAGCTCCATTAAGCGTGTCCTAACCTCATGAAGGAGAATACCTATGTGAAGGTGGGTCGTTGAATAGCACGTTGGCTTATAATGAGCGGGCTCCACAAGTAGCTTCAGTTCTGCACAGTGTCAGTCGATCGCATGGGGAAGCGAGCGGCCCGCGCGGTTGAGCTTGGTGGCAGGTCGATCAAAGTTTCTTTATTCCGCACGCGCTGGGGATAGGAGCTGCCATATCGGGGCCATATCAGTATCAAACCACTTCCACGTCCGTATTTGGCCTCGTAGTCGCATTACACGACTGCACACTGTTGAACGGCCAAAAGAATCAGACGCAGGGTTCTGCTTCGAGAGGAGACGCTTCGAGCATAGCAAAGTTGGTTGTCTGTTCAACAGTAGAATGCCCAATATACCGTACTTTGTACGGTCTTTTCACGCATAGTAGCCGAAAACTCGTGTTTGGTTTGTGAGCTGCAAGGATAAAAGAAGCTGGATTGATTCTCGTAAGCCAGTACCGCAACTTGCTACAGTATAATCTGACAAGACCCAGGGCAAACGAAGATGGCTGGATGATACGGGGGTAAGAAGTGTCACTGGCCTTCTAGTAAATACAATGCTCCTCACGTATCCACCGCCGATACAGCTGCCCCCTTTTGAACTAATCTTCGCATTTCTTTTCCATAGGTAAACACTCATGGGTTGACAGACCTCCCCAATTTCCAAATAAAACCCCGGATCCGCCATCTCACGTCGTATGCCGCATGTAATCAATGATTTCGCCCAGTTGTTCAATAGGAAGAGGGCACCCGACAAAAACTCGCGAAACCGACCCCTGGAACTCCAGAACCTATGATCCAAGGGCCACTCCGGCGAGCGGTCGGTCCACTGACCACCAACTCAGAGTAGGCCCCGTCAAGTTGTTATGCGCGTTACCCCAGGCAGATGCACGCAAAAGATTAGATCGCCATCCATAACTAGGCTGTAATGAACGACGAGGCTTGCCAAGTGTGCCGCTAACCAGACAATAAACAGAGATATTGCCTCTAGCGACACCATCGGAAAGCGACATGGAAAGACAACTAGGAAAAAAGAAAGTAGCAGGCTCGGCAGCAGTAAGAACTGAATCTAAGAGACAATTCAGAGCCTACAGGCATCAAACAGAGGATCCCGAGACAAAGTAGTTGACGACTGGAGGGGTCGATAGCAGAGCCAATTCTGACGTGAAGTAACCGAAGAAAGCTTTTTTTGGTATTCTTGTGCGCATTCATAAAACAAGTGAAATTCGCCGTGCTTCGCAAGTAGCCTACTGCTTAACTGCACCGATATGTAGACTCGATGCGGTCGAGTCAGGGGAATCGTAACAACGCCTTAACAAATGACTGAAGCCTGACGGGAAACGGGAAGAACCGGACGCCTGCGCAAAGCCAGATTCGGACGTCTAGTCTGCGCCGATTTCGTTGCCGCCCTCCATGCCAAATGACCCAGTGTTAAAGTCAAAGGCTTGGTTGTCGCCGTCTTCATGGAGAAACGAGTCGAAGTCGAAGTCGTTGAGCACGTTGTCCGAGACCAAAGGGTCGGCGAATGTCATGGCGTTGAAGTCAATCGCGTTCGAGCTGTCCAGGCCAGAAAATCCGTTCTGGTTATTGTCTGTGTGAGGCTGAGGAGCGACCTGAGCTGGAGGGGCTGGCGCAGGAGCACCCTGTTGACCATTGGGTACAGCGGGCACAGCGGCGTTTTGCCCGTTCTTGTTGAAGCTAACAGCATTGACAGGGGTGATAGGGGTCGCCGGCGTTGGCGGCTCGGCATCCTGCGCACCGTCTGTAGCCGGAGTAGTGCCGCTGTTGAGATTTGTGTTTGATTTCTTTTGAGTCGCGGCCTGCACAGGGTTTAGTTGGTGGATCGATGTTATGAGCTCAAGTGAAGTGCTTACTTTAGTCTTGGCGTTTTTGTTGTCCTTCTTCTTCGGGGCAGCCTTGTTAGACTGCGAAGGAGTTGGAGGGGCTGCTGTCGCCTGCTGGGGCGACGACGTGCTTGTGCGGTTGGCATTGGCACCAGCTGGTGCAGACGGGGGCGGCATTGACCGTTGTTGCGGGGTACCCTGAACTGGACCCTGGGGGCCCTGGGGCACCATCTGGTTGCCGTTCGGGCCGCCTTGCTGCCACTGCACTGGTTGATTGCCCTGACCGGCTTGTTGAGGCTGCTGCTGGGGCTGCTGCTGCTGCTGCTGCTGCTGTTGCTGTTGCTGCGCCTGCTGCTGTTGCTGCTGTTGTCGAGCGGCCATCATTTGCTGCGGGTTCATCTGACCGTTGAACTGCTGGCCTGGATGCGAGCTAGGGGGGCGCATGCCGCCATTCATCTGAGGGTTGGGGACCATGTTGCCGTCCATCTGGTTGCCCATACCCTTGAAGAAGTGTGGTGCCATGTTGGGGTCCATTTGGCTGTTCATAAAGTTCATGGGATTGGGGGAGCCGCGCGACTGCGCGCCCTCAGGCAATGGTGACGGAATGCCCGCGTTATTCATTTGCGGCGTGCCTCGCTTCATCTGCTCCGTGGGGTTCGGCGACGCTCCGGATCTGCCTCCCTGAGGAGATGTCTCTGGGAAAGGCTGGCCGTTGGGGCCAGGAGGGCCGCCTGGGCCACCTGGTCCATCTCCTCTAGGCATAGCGCCGCCCATGCTATCCTGCTCCTGTCGAGCCATCATAAGCCTTTTCTTATTCTGCTGCTCCAGAAGCATTAGCTGCATTTGATAGTCTTGCAGAGCGTGGTTACTTCCACCACCGGCTTGAGCGCCGCCTGGGCCAGGCCTAATACCGCCGGGACCCATCTCCCCAGCGTTGTAGTATGCAGCCAGCCCGGCCCCATCAGGGCCTTGCGCCATCATGGGCGAGCCCTGGCCCTGAGGGCCAGACGCGTTGGGCATGGGCTTGTTAGGCATTTGACTAGCTTGGTGTTGTTGGAGGTTTGCCGCATATGTGGCAATGGACTTAGCTTGAACAGCAGGGGGTTGATTTGAGAATGTCGTAAACTGCTGTTGGGTCAGCGACGCCGGGTTAATGCCGTTGGTGATGAGCATTTGCTGAGCTTGGGCTACGTTTGGGGTGGTCCCCACCTGCTGGCCCGGCATGCCCTGTTGTGGTCTTCCGTTCGGCATCATTCCAGGTTGGTTGGGAAAGTTGGGCGCTCCATCCAGGCGAGGTCTCTTGGAAGGCGAGGGGGCGTTTTCACCGGAACCAGGCGATGAAGGGCGTTGGCGGTTTCCATCCATGTCCGAAGGGTCTCGTTGCATCTGGGTTTGCTTTGCATGCTGCAGCATTTGCATAGCTTGGGGGCTACGCGGGGCAAAATGAGCAAACCAAGCAGACAACACGGGGCAAAATATGGGAAGCTGTGGCGACTCACTTGTTTTGATTATTGGCCATGGCCGTCCGCACAAGTTGGTTCTTTTGCATGTTCATAGCCATGCCTCCATTTTGCATATTGCGCATCATCTGGGAATGATATTGCTGCTGGGCAGCTAAGCCATCGGGGCGCATCTGGCGGAGGAGTTCCTGCTGCTGGTTCTGTCGCATGCGGGATTGCTGCTAAAGAGCCTAGTTAGCGGTTGCATGCATGATGCGCAGATGAAGGGGGGGCGGCGTACCTGGGTGTGGCTGACGTATTGATTGACAGGGCCGTTGCCTCCTTTGGTGCGTTGCGCATGGAAAATATCCCAGAATAAGCAGAACCACTCGTACAAGAAGGATGATTCCGAAGCAGGCATTGGCAGTTTAGGGGCAGGCAGGTCGTCAGGCAACTTGGCATCGATGTCATCCTTTGAGTCGGTGTCCATGGGGTCATCGCCGAGGCCGTTGCCCAAAAGATTCCCGTTCTCGTCCCTCCGGCGGTTTGATCCGTCCTTCATGACGTTTACTTGGTTGTCCCCATTGAGGAGGGTTCGGGCGCAATCAAACATTTGATGGCGGAGGAAGTACTCGTAGATGTAAGTATTGAGCAAGGTACGCTGGCTCTCGGTAGGAACAGGCATCTGTCGTGGACCGCCGGCGACTTGAGGCGCAACTGCGCCATTATTCATCATTGGGACGGGGGCGCCAACAGGACCGCCCATGGCGTTCATGTTGGCCAAATTGGGATTGACGTTAACGTTCATGGTTGTGAGCTGGGTTGCAGACAGTCGTCTGCCCAGCAGGGTAGGGTGAGGTCGATGCGGTGAAGAAAGAAAAGGTTGAAGGATAGATGGTGGTCGGAGGCGAAGAGTGAGCGTCGGGGTTCGTCAGAAACTTCCCGGGTCAGCGACCGTCAAGACTGGCACTGAGGGTTTGGCTAACTGGCGGGCAGATGCGTCGGAGTCAGTGGGTTGAGGGCCACCAGGGGGTGAGTAGCCTTTGAGTGATGGCGCGGGAGTAGTTCAAGGAAAGGAAGGGAATGTCTTGTCGGTTGGATAGGCGCGACGGGTAGATGAGTATGCGCAACTCGTGACGGCAGTGGTGGTATGTGATGTTACAAGTGAAGAAGGGAAAGAGAAAAAAAAGAGAGAGAATAAAATAAAATAAAAAGGGTCGAAGGACGTGCGTACAGCGACAAAGGCTGGATTGAATGTTTGATGAGGGCGATGGCGAAGAAGGCGGCGAAGGCGAAAGCAGGGCCAAATGCAAATGCAGGTGTGGGTTGAGGAGTGGAAATGGGAGTGGAAAGACAGCCTGGGAAGAAGAGGAGAGGAGGTGGAGGAGGAGGAGGAGGAGGAGAAGCAGCGCGACGGCTCGGGTCGGGGGTAAAGGTAGTTTGGCTTTGGCTTTTGATTTGCTTTTGGCTTTGGGGTTTGGCCGGGCTGGCAGCTGGTGCTGCTATCGCTGCTGTGCAGGTGCTCTCCCCACGTCTCTCAAGTCTACCAGCGCGGTGAGGTGGCTCTGGCCAGGCGGCGTCGTCGATCCTAACAGCCAAGGGTATTATCCCGTAGCAGGTCAGGTTCCCTCTTCTCTCTCCCGCAAGCGCTAGGCCGATAAGGCGAAGTCGAGAATGAAGTCGACGATTGTCTCCGGGGGGGCGCGACGGCGGGTAACCATTAACGGAGAAATGGACGCGAATTCAAGGCCAAGTTGAGTTTGAATACGTTGGGCATGCAAGGCCACTAGGGGTTCGGTTGTTGGAAATGGGGAGGAAGGGGGAGCAGCAGGAGAGCGAGAGAGCAGTAGGAGAGAAAGAGAGGGGCGCTTGGTCGACGGGACGGAGGAGAAAGACGGGACAAGGCAAAGGGAAGAGGGAGTGAGTGTCGGGGAGTGGACGTGGACGTGAACGTGGACGCGGACGTGGGAAAGGATGGGGTTGGGATTTTCCTAATTTTCGCCTGGGACGCTTGAGCAGATTTTCGGGGTGGGAAGTCTGGAGACCTGGAACCGTGAGTTAGCTAGTAGCTACATTGGCTGCTCGGGGCAGGAGCTCGCTGTCGACGCGGGTATACCTCAGAATGTGACGCGAACATTTGAGAATGTGTTCTGCCTGAGGCCACATATATCGTTATATCAAAGGCAAAGGCAAAGGGGGAGGGGCGAAAGGGACAAGACTTCGGACTCAGAGGGTTCCAAAAGTGGGTGGAAGGGGGCACAACCACCTGTCACCGCCCTGCCGCCTCCTAAATGCCATTCCAACGTCGGGTTCTGCCTGCCCTGCAAAGTGCTACGTTAGTACCATTTTGCTGGTACGTTATGCACTACCTAGGTAGGTAGGTAGGTACCCTGTCCTGTCAGGTACTTAGGGAGCCTGTAGGCCCCATTTTCCTCCAGCAGGCAGAGCTGAGATGCACCCGAGATGCCTGAATTGCTGCAATTGCTGGGTTCTTGTGTTTCCCAGGTTAACACTTGATGCAATAAGATGCAGACACCGGCGCGAGATGAAGATGTCGACCTTGTGCTCCGGATCTTTGCTTTATTCAGACTGCGCCTTCCCGTCGGCCGATGTTCCTCGTTAATGCGCGTCGCATCCCATGGCATCTTGAATGGAGCTCACATAACCCGGCACGTTTCCTCACTTGTCTCAGCGACCGCGACCGCGCTGCAAGTACAGACGCGTCATACCACGCCGAATGATAGGTATTTCTAAAGCTCTAGCTTGCCTACCCACAACCTACCCCTGCCTCACGTAATTTTCAAGCAGAGCCTCCCACTTCACGTCTGGTCTTAATCCTCTTCGACATATCGCGTTAACGTAGACTCAGTCGCAGATGCAGACGTATATGCTTGCTTCATGCAAGTGCAGACAGGCCCTCACTAACCACACCGCCGCAATCAATGTTCCCGTCTGGTTGACTGATGTCGTTCAAAAGCAGCCCACCCCGACTCATGCGCCGTACAGGCTACCTAGTCCTTTCAACACGCTTGATTTCGCAGTCGACGGACCCTTCAGAGTCAAGACGCCACGAATCCTGTATTGCAATGTGTTCCGACTTGATACGCTTTGCTCTGAAAAGCTTTTCATTTCAAAGACATCTCGTTCGATCAAACGACCTATCCACAGTTAAAATTAAGGGCGGCCTAGAGACCATTGCTGGACCCTCGCACAGACCCTTACAATAATATCACGGCAACTTCAAGCTCCAGTCATGACAACGGAAGCCGAGGTTAAGGGTCGAGCTCACACAAAATGCATAGACAGAACCAGAATTCCTGATGTGACGACAGTTTCAATCGGTGCACCGAGAATGTTAAGGTGGCCTTGGATGACGCCCACTGCCGTTTGCTTATCAACCAGTCCACGCGCGGGTGACGCCGCCACCCCGAGTCACCGGCTTTCCATCTCGCCCTCCCCCTGGGATCCGCCGAAACCGACCGGCCGTCCCGAGAGACGCAGGCATTTTCACGCCTACGAGCGACTTGCAACGGGCTGACACGTGCTGGCCAAAGCAGGTCTACCGCCAACCAAATGCGCGGGTTTGGTTTCGAGTTCTTGTGAAACATAGTACTGTTGAAGCAAATCTTTTGCACACTGATGCCTACCAAGTTGGCAAGACTAGATTATTACGGCTCGTCGTCAAAATTAACTCGCCTTACAGACTGCGTGGGGACAGACTGGGGCCAGGCATGTAGAATCCGTCGCCGTAACATGGCTCGCGCATGCGGCGCGCCAAGGTACAGATGCCAACAACACGAACTGTGAAGCTGGTCATTCGATTTTGGGCGTTATTGGCCCCTGCAATTCTTCTGATAATTGTACCAAAAACCAAAAAAAAAAAACTGTTTGGGTTGGTACATATACCGCTGTCAGAGCTACCGTCACCATCGTCCTAGATGGGAATTTGCAGCTAGCATGGACCATTTCTGGGCGTATAATTCTGTTTGGTATTGTGAATGACGCGTTTCGTAGCCTGGTCGTCTTTGAACAGCATGCGCTGCGATGCACGGCCCAGAGAGCTCCCGGCCTAGTCCTCTCCAACGCAATGATTTCATGACGTCTGATCTTCGTGTTTTATACTGTATTTTTCCGACTGTTGGAGTATTATTGTGCACATGTGCAACCTAGAGGGACCACCTGTGATACATACTCCAGTCTGATCTTAGCGTTTCGCAAAGAATGACGAGGCTGAGGTCGTGCTCTCCAGCTGACAAGGACTGTACCATATCAAAGTTTCTCGACGATTGAAGACCATGGCATGCAGTATGCGAGGAGGCGGATCGGAGCACAATGCTCGACTTGAGCAAGGAGAGACAACGATGTATTGCGCGGGGGTGCCATGCCACTCAATCGTCTTCCGGCGGTAGTTCGTCGTCAATGTACCGCACTAATGACACCCTCATTTCCGTCGTGTCATGACCCCGTAGCACGTCGCTGATGAAATGCGCCTCTACTTGCATCTGCACCATTTCCAGTGCTCCTCGCAGCACGCCGCAGAAAATATTAGAGTACCACAGCTCGTCCTGAGCTCGCTCATCGTCGGGTAGCTCAACGAAATCCGCCAGAGGATTCTCGTCAAATACAAGCGAGAACTGCTTGTTGTCTGTTGTCCAATTCGTCACCTGCGGCGTGATATTCAGGAAAATTTTAAAGCCGACCTGGTTTGCCAAGTGTCAGTACAACGCCCTTCTGGAAGACACTACGACGGCTTCCTACCCTCGCAATCATGTCTGCTGTCTCGCGGAAGTTTGAACATCTCTTCATCGTGTTCGATTTGGCCAGGTAGTCCTCAATGAGACGGAGGCCAATATTGTACCCCATCTTGTCCAACTGCTTGTTGACCTCGGCATAATCGGTGTCGTAGTCCTTGCACAGTTGCGCAACGATCGTTCCGTATGTGAGGGTGACGAGCTCGGCGTTGACTTTGTCTATCCGAGTCCTGCAATCAAAATGTCAAATGTGTTCGTTCTAGGCATATGTGGACGTTGCGACGTACTTCCAGATTCTGTCGTGTGGTTAGCTCGTGTCATCAACGCATGTACTACAGGGAAACATACTCCTCGCCCAAGCGGGTTGCCTTGCTTGCAGCCATGATCGTAGTAGCAGCTTTCAAGGTTTGTTGTTAGTTTTGATGGCCTCTGCAACGACGTCAAGTATAAGGGAAGTAAGTAGTTCGAAACACGCGGCAGCCGCAGTCAGGTCGGTTATGTTTTGTCTACGTCGTCTGTCGCCGTCTTCGCCGCAGTACCGAAGCTGTTACAAGTGCCCTTTGCACAAGGGTTGCGGTAGCGAGGGTGACTGCCTTCAGGTCGCAGCTGTCGCAGTACTTGGGTGTTTGACGTTGACTGTTTACCGGTGGTGAGGTGGGTATTGAGAGGATGGCAGTGCAGGGGTTGCTATCTATCGGGCGAGGGAGGAACAGTCGACAGTGGATATCGGCGCACCCCAATGTTGAAGCCCCACCTTCTAGCCTCAGAGCTCGGGGATCGGCAGAAGCAAGCTCCGTTCCGCCCCCAACCTCGCACAGGTCAATGATCTCAGCAGCAACACATTTTCTCTGGTCTACAACTGAACCTCGTTCAATAGCCTCGACACGCCTCGCCACGATACCCCCGCAGCCTTCGGACCAAGACAACCTCCTTAACCCTACTATTCGATATTTACACGAAATTTTGATCTGTATACCGACATCATGTCTGCCGAAAAAAGACCAGCTTCTGATGAGCCTGGCGCGGGCCAGATGATCGTGAAGCGTCAGAACGTGGGATCTTCAACCGGAGCGCTGGCTCGACTGAATGCCTCGGGAAACAGCACCGCATTGGTGCAGACAGTAAGCAGATACATCGCAGGCAACCAGCACTCTACTGATAGTATTACGGCTAGACTCCCCGGACGAGTAATCTGCAGGCACCGGTCATGGAACTCTCCGGCCACTCTGGTGAGGTCTTTGCCGCCAAATTTGACCCTACCGGCAATTTCATTGCTTCCGGGTCGATGGATAGAAGCATTTGTACGTTTGAGATTTCTGAGCGTCTCATCATGGTGCTTTGCTGATACCCCGCAGTATTGTGGCGAACCTATGGCGACTGCGAAAATTATGGCATTCTCACGGGCCACCGCGGCGCTGTTCTCGATCTACAGTGGTCCAGAGACTCTAAGATTATTTACTCAGCTGCAGCCGACACACATCTGGCAAGCTGGGATATTGAGAACGGCACAAGAATACGAAGGTACATCGGCCATGACGAGATTGTGAACACGATGGATATCAGCAAACGAGGCGAGGGTATGCTGGTAAGCGGTAGCGATGATGGTACGATAGGACTTTGGGACCCAAGATCGAAGCATGCGGTGGATCACATTGAGACCGAGTTCCCCATTACTGCCATTGCTATGTCCGAGGCCGGAAACGAAGTTTACTCGGGCGGCATCGACAACGACATCAAGGTCTGGGACCTGCGTAAGAAATCCGTTGTGTACTCCATGCTTGGACACCAGGATACGGTTACCTCACTCCGAGTATCACCGGACTCACAGTCACTGCTTTCATTTGCCATGGACTCTACGGTTAGAACATGGGACATTCGCCCGTTTGCCCCGACAGATAGGCACATCAGAACATTTGACGGCGCTTCCGTGGGCCTCGAGAAGAATCTTATTCGAGCCAGCTGGAACTCTGATGGCAAGAAAGTGGCTGTCGGCTCTGGCGACGGCACCGCCACTATTTGGTCCAGCGAGACTGGCAAGCTCATGTACAAGCTTCCTGGACATAAGGGGACCGTGAACTGCGTTGAGTTTGCGCCCGGTACGGAACCTATTGGTGAGTTGTACTTCTTGAAGCATGGTGACGATACTGAGCTAATGCATCATCAAAGTACTTTCTGCATCTTCTGATCGGAACATGCTTCTTGGAGAGCTGCGATGATGGCGATGCGCCTCGCGAGAAGTCAATCCTCTAACGGAGGGCATTTCCCAGAGCGCCTCCTGGTCGATGTGTACAACCATGCCATAGCGGCATGCAGCTCACCTCCAGTCCACCGATGATGGGGCTGAGATAGGTGACGGTGGAGAATACTATATTTGCACACGTGATAAGGTAGAACGAAGAGCGTGCATCATCAACACGATGCGCACGATTTGTTGAAAGTTTGCCGAAGTGGAAGTTAGAGCTGCCTTTTACGACCCAACAGTGGTGGCATATCTGCACGCATGGCGCGAGGAGATGCAGAGACGATATAAGACCGTAAATTGGCGGTAGTTCTTGGTAAAGGAGGCATTTACCTTACGGGGACTGCTGTAACAACATGGCAATGAAAAACAAGGCAACGACCAGTTTGATACCCTAGAAATGCCGATGTCGGCAAGTTGGTTGGGGTCGTTGGGTATATGGCTTACGTAGTGTCAAGAGAGGGCATATGCCAGCGAACGGCACGGCCCAGAAATACCTATCTGGTGTGTCTGCATTGGCCCTCGGGACAGGGCCACATGGCTCCCCGCGGCGTGAGAAACGTGGGGTTGGGAATGTGTCACCTCACCCATGAACGTTGCCCGTACAGGTGAGATCCAGACCACTGTTTTGACATCTGGGGAGTCTTTTGGCGTGTGCCCATAGACAAAGCATACCCGCGTTGTCGGGCTTCATTAGGTCTCCGGGACTATGACAACGAGCTGGGCAAGAAAGCTGCTGTGTAAAGCAGTGAAAGGTTTGCTTTCGACCTATGGGCAAGGGCAGATGTCATTTGACTTGAAGCTCGTCTATCTACACAGTGAGGTTGACCAGACCGAGTCCTTGTGGGGTTTGCTCTGGAAGAGAGGCACAATGTTCGTCTCGCACGCGCCTTGTGCTGGGGAGAGAGGAGGCTCGGTTAACTCTATCGGCTTCAAGGAGGGCATGGAGATCACTGGCAGCCGTGGCAGGCGAAGAGACGGGGCAATCTTGCGATTTATGGAGACTGCACATGGGATGACTGCAGATATCTAACGGACGAATATACGAGTTTGGACGGTGGTGATGATACCGAGGTATCACCAAGGAAGCGTTGCAATTTCTCGAGCAGGTAGTGCAGTAAGCAAGGTATCGTGGACTGTATAGTCTGTAGGCGCGCAAGAGAGGTTTGTACATATATGCTTGCGGCGTCGCATCTGGACGAGGCAGAGCGAATCCCTGTTGCGAAGTTACGAGCGCAATTAGAATGTCTCGAATGAGGGTACCCGCACCTTATCTGAGTGCAATTAATGTCAACCCCTGCTTCTTGACATGGACCAGATTTCACACCAACGAGGCATCAAATTACGAGTGGGCTTTTTTTGGAGAACGCTCACCCTAAGCCAACAGCTGGTCCGGGAGCCGTGAATTGAAGATTGGCTCGTCTTGAGGAGGAGCGGTGGGGGCCATGCCTAACACCAACAACGACAAAGACGATTCTCGTCTTGGCCGACACAAGAAACATATCAAGCCACAGAGGCCCCTTTATGGCAAGGGGGCCGGGGCCCGAGTGGTTGCTATTCTTGCCGCCAACGTTACCGTAGGTGTTGGTGTGTATTCATACCGTATCTAGGCATGTGCATCAGGTAAGGCGAGGTAGGTATAATGCTACACTGCATTAGGAAGGGGAGGGACTTGCAGCTCCTTCAGACGCTAAACGCCAAACACCATACCGGTAGCTACCAGTGGCTTGCCCCTCCAGGCCTCCAGAGCGCGACCACAATGCCGGTATCAACCGGATTTGGACTTGGGCTCTCCTCCCCCAGAGGCAAGCTGAGATCTCGAGAATCCGAAACACGCTCCTGATCCAGCAGACCCCTGGGCTAGTGCTTTGTGTGCGTCCTGTTCGTCCGGGGTCAGCTATTGATTCCATTGGCCCCGCGCTCCCAAAAACGATACCCTTGCAAATTGTGCAACACCCAAGCTGTCAGAGAAGTCGTCGACAAATGACGGCGGATCCATTCCATACCACTGTCCGCCCTTCGCTTCCCCTCGTATGCGGTGTATACTAGGCAAGAACGAGCGGCAACAGCTCAATCCCAATGCTTTTCTCGGCGATGCCCTTGCGACAACACTCTACAAGGGTTTTATGCAGATGCAACATATTCTTCTCGTCGTTGATGCCGTAGAACCTGCACGTTTCCTCCTGTTATCATCCTCATCCCGGTTTTATCCCGTCCTTACGATCCGCTGCCTCCCTGTCCTTTTTTCTGCCTCCTCATACCCCTGCCTCCGTGCCCCCGTGCCTTCTCTCCTTCTCCCCCAGAGTCTCAGCATTGCAGGTGTCGCAAGATCCCAGATATGCCGGGATGAGACTGGTGTCTGTGTGCCCGAGTTTGCCGCTTCTTTTTTCCTTCTGTCCAGTGACACGGTACGCTACTCGATACCCGCCCAATCCCCTTGCACACGGTAGACGCCTGTCTGGCGTCTCTCTCTCTCTCTCTGTTCCGCCCTCTCCAGGTAGCCTGACCTTGCCATGATCCATCTTAGCGAACCGAACTGCTGGACGGCGGACGGACGCCGACGACGCTCGGAAACGACGCCCTCCACCCTATAGTTCCTCTAGTATGTTGACAGGAGGCTTATTGTGCCCTACTACCTTCCCTCCATTCCTCTCTGCAACATTGTCCTCTTTTTCAACCCAACCTATCCATTCCACCCAGCGTCATGTTGGCGCCAGCTGCCTCTCCGGCATCGCGTGCTTCTTGCTAGCTTCCGCATGTCTTCCCGCTCGTTGTTGTTGCTCTCCTTTTTGTTTACAATAGTCACAAGACGGCACTGCGTGTCGATCGTTACCTTCAAGGCTCTGTGAGTCCAGTACATTACATTGCCCTGGCCGGCTTTATTCTTCTTGATACCCTCTCTCCCTGCTGTTTTCACACGGTCGCGAGCATCCCTCCCTTGGACCATCGCCCGACTGCTTCTCAGCCATCTGGACGCCACGCTCTTATCCCTTTGGGAACCTCGGTCGCTCGACACCTTCGGTTCATTGTTCGACGGCTCTTCTTCCCGTCCGTCGCCCTACACCATTTCCCGGCCGTTGACAGCGCCCAGTCGTTCCCGCGCAACGAGGCGGCAGCCTTTGTTCATACACCATCGTTGACTTGCCCGTCACCTCAATCCAACTGAGAAGGGGCCTGTTCGCTGCCTTTAACGCCATCAACGGCCTCTGCGGGGCTATTAGGAAACACCCGGCGGCGAGTCGCGCTTGTCAACAGACGTCTGCTTCTGAAGCATGATATAACTTTGAACGGGGATAATCACAGCTCTTCTGTCAATTTTCAACACGAGGGCTCGCTCACCAGCCGACCTGGGCCCTTCGCCATGGACTTTCTGCGCCGAGGACGGTCCTCCCACAGGGAGGGCACTGAGCAGCGGGCTTCGGCAGGATCATCGACGCAGCCGGAAATGGAGGAAGCATCACGATCCCGGTCGACACGGTTGCCTGGAACACGGCCTTCGCTCTCCTCGAGACGGGGTCCGGGTAACGGGATGCAGAGGCTTGGTGGCGAAGAAAGTGGCCCGCCCAAAACTCCTCGTTTCAACCTAGGCCTTCCAGCACTCCCAGGAACTCGTCTTAATCTGCCGCATCTCACAAGGACATGGACAGTGGGCTCCAATGGCCCGGACTCGCGGCCCAATCCAATCCAACGCCTCCCCAATCAAGGAAACGAAGCGTCGACAGACCCCCCGGCCCTGCCCCGGACCGGAGGGGCACCAGCTGCCCCGGTAGCAATGCCAGCACCCGTGGCCCGAGTATCCCGGTCCGAATCTACTGGCAGGAGGAGGACGTTCACCGGGCCGGATCCGGCAGAGATGCATCTGGCACAGATGGCTCAGGACGGACGGCGGCGTCGACGGCGTGCGCATCGCCGTCAACATGCGAACCACGACGAGAGACATCCGAAACGGTTTCTCCTTTGTATCCCCTGGCCAAAGTCGCGGCGCATAAGGTCCCAAATTCTCCAGTGCTTCATATCGGGCTTTTTCTTAACCATGCTTCTGACGGCTTGTAAGTGCAAACTCACCTTACCCAGCTGGGAGTTTTCGTATGGAACGTGTGACTGACCTCGTTGCCAGACCTAGCCTTATCTCTCACACAGAACATCCGCAATAATGAGTTTACGGTCCTGCTCATACTTGTCATCTTGTTTGTCACCGTCTTCTTCTGCCATGGCTTGATTCGGCTTTGCATGGTCATCTTTCGGCTACGACCCGACGGCGATTCCAGGCCGCCGATGCCGCAGCTTCTGGCCCCCGGCGGCTATGCTGTGCCTCGAGAACCTATCCGGGTCATGCTGGCACGCGATGAAGAAGAGCAAGGGGAGATCAGCGAGGCGTTGTTGGCCAAGCCGCCTGCCTACGGCCTTTGGCGGGAGAGCGTGGTACGTATTCGCGGTCAGGAAGTTTACGCGCATGAGACTAATACGGACCTGACACAGAGAGTTGACCCCAACCGGATATACTGGCAGCGTAATCCAAATGCCGCATCGAACGTCGAGCTGTCCACATCGGCAGAGAGCACCAGTGGGCCTCGGCCGCCGTCTTATGCTTCGGAAGACGGGGTGAGCTACGTCGTCGACGCTCGCCCCCGATCGATCGCACCGGCCATGACGGAAGCCCCAGTGCCGTCGCATCCTTCCGAGATTGGGCGCGTGGGTGAACGCCAGGTTCTGTCATGAGTTGACAACGATCTCATCCCTTTCTGGCGATGAGCACGATTATCTATTCCATTAATGTGATTCAACACCCGGCGGCGGCGTTGGTGTATGTTTGTTTCGGGGTCGGTTACTGTGCGACGCGCCAATGATGGCACTGGCGTCGGTGCGGGCCAAGACGACTCAAAGCAAAATAGCAACGCTTCAATGCGGAGTGTATGCGTCTAGAGAGAGTCTGGCCGTGTAAACAGGTGTCTTGTTGACCGTGGCGGCTAGGGTTGGCTTGGCGCGACATGTAAAAAACCCCGGGCACTTGCAATAGCGCAAGACGGAGTAGTATATATATATATATATGTATAATATGTCGGTTGAGCCCCAACGGGCCGACAAAGCGATGCATCGTCCAAGATTTCACCTGCTTCAAGAGATGCCCCCAAGCCATATGTTGGGGAAGTGTGGCCGGGACACTGGGAGACCAAGCGCAGGTGACGACGCAAAGCACGAGAACTATGATTGGCGATGACCCTAGCTGCGGAGGAGTGGTTTCCACAACATGTTGGCGGTTACATCCTCGTCACCCCTGATGACCTAAGGCGAGAGACGGAGAGGACACCCGTAAGTGAGGTGAAGGAAAAGCGAACGCGAGACAAGACGAGATTGAAGAAGCACAAGCTACTAGCGGTGGCCCTGGACAGGCGACAGACGAAGTATGACTTGCCGAGGGTACCGCTACGTCAGCCCCGACGGTTACTAGGCGGCTAACCCAAGATAGTGCCTAGGTACCTGCCTTTGGCAGAGTGAATGCAGTACTCCGGACCAGGTCAAAAGTTCGGGCACATCAAAAAGGATAGCCCAGTACGGATACTCCGTACAGAGTGTCCTATTGCACCACCAGAAATCACGTTTGTCACTACTTCACTACAGCTGCTGATTGGGTCGCTCTTTTCGCTGTGCCCAAACTTTTGACTTATTACTGTACCTGTCTTCCCCGCCCTCCCACTTTTTATTTATTTATTACGGAGTACGGATACGTCGTGATGAATGACGGAAGCCCCCTCTAAGGCGGTCCGTGTGTTTCCCGAAATCCCTCCCGTACAACGGTGGTGCGCCGGATCGAAAACGGACACCCACTGAGAGAGTTGCCTCTGACTTGATTAATTTTCTCTTATTTTCTTTTTAATTTTCTTTTTGTGCTACAGTCGCTTTTGTTTGGACATGGGCGTGGACCGTGCGCTCTGGGTTTTTGTCCCCGGTCGCTCAGCTGACATGGGCCTCTTTCAGCATCTTCAGAGTACCGTACCTACCTAGGTTAGCACGTTAGGTAGGTGAGGGGAGGAAAGGCATGGTGTAGCTCTGGCATGGCGCGGGAAAGCCAATCATCCATCCTCGCTAGTGCTCACTTTCTGGTGACGACAAGGCGGAAAGGCTGGGCGAGTGCAAATGTGGGCGAGTGCAAATGTAGGCGGGTGCAGAAAGGAAAGTGCAGCTGAAGGGCTCGAATGCGTGTCAGCAGCAAACTCGGGCCTCTTCCTCGATCCTCCTGTCTTCACTTCCAGTCTCCGTGTTCCAGAAACGTATGTGCGCTGGGGCCATCAGGTGTCCAGCAGCAATCAGAGGATACCTTTTCTTCGTCACCTGCCTCGCCCGCTCCTCCCAGCCCGCTTCTCCCATCCGAATCCAACCCAGCCCAATCTGGGCCCGTACTCCCCTTTCTACTTCCTAGACATGTTCAGAACGGGGGTCATCCCCGACACTACTGCAGTGACTGGCTGATGAATTGCCCCAAGTTCATACTTTTTTTGCTTTGGTGGGAATTAGTGGTTTCCTGCTTCGTCTTACACACATACCTAATGTACCTAGGTAGGCACGTAGGTGCACACACACACACACACACACACACACACACAGATACCCTTACTCACTACCTTCCGGTTTTGAAACCCCCCTAGTCAAGTCCGATCGGGTAGTTTTTGGTTTGAATCCTTCCTCGTCTGCGAACTCGCGTCTTTCTACCTAGTGAAAAGAAAGAGAAGGGAACAAGATAAAAAAGGTAAATAAATAAATAAATAAAAACCCCCCCGGAAGCAAGTTTCCTCGCCTCCGTTCTTCGCCCCCCCGTCCACCCCCGCTTAGGTACCTAGTGCACAGTCACTACCTAGACCCCTCTTCCATCACAAACCATTTATTTTTTTGTCCCCTTCCCTTCCCTCCCCTCCCTCCCTATAAACCGCAACTCTCTTCGCAACGAACTCGACTGTCCCAATATTCTCAACGGTATTTTTTGCAAAAAGGTAAGCTTTTCCCTCGACTCTTTATTCTTGCATGCGCAGCCCATGCACACATACATATGCACAATTCTTCATGTTCCCTACCTCTTTCCTTCTCCATCTCAGCGTCTTTGTCCCTCTTCCCCAGTCATCACACCCCCTCATTGTCTGCTCCCTGCTCGCCATGCGGCACCGCAAGCTTCCCATCATCCTGCCGTCGTATCAAGTGTATGCGATACACCGAGGATCGCCCTGCCCAGCTTGTTCAGCAGCACAATCGCTTCTGTTAGCAGCCGCCACTGTACCACCACACAGTTCGCATTGCATCGCACCGCGACGACACAGACCAGCGCACCCCAGGAACACCTCACTCAGCCTCTCGTCCGCCTCAAGTCGAGTGGCCACGTCGATCACCGGGTTAAAACACACACGGCACTCGAGATGGCTTTCGCATTGCGTCCTCGCTTGTGTTGCGGCATGCTGCTGTCGCTAGTGATGCGCCAACCCCGCCTTACTGGTTTGGTCACAAGCCCACACACGAACTTTTGTCGTTTGCGCCTTCTCAACCCATTCCGTCACCCCCTTCAAAATCCCCCGCTACTGGATATATCGCCTGCACCATAACCTGACCGAACCCGAAGACCGAATCAGCCCTCCGTCGGCACTTAGCCACATTTGCGCCGTCTCGCTTGCCGTCATCACCGCGCGTTCGGTCCTGCCATTCCGATTTGGAACATATGCGCCGCTCTCCCGAAAAGCCTTCGGTGGATCATTTGCCATGATCTCTCAATCAGTTTGCAGCTACCGTCATAGCAATGCCGCGCGAAGAACCCATAAGTCTTGAGCTTTGGGGTACTGTCTTCGGGACGAGAAGCAATAACTGTCGCAGGGCTTGTCGCTGCGAGCGCCGGATTACTTGCACATTCTCTGTACGGCCCCCAGGGCAGTCGCTGCCGAATCAAGCTACATGCCCTTGCCCAAGAAACCATCATGACGGGCCACTTGATTGCGCTATTGCCAACTGAGGTCCCGTTGCGGTTCCGCTGTTGCCAAAGTGCAAGGAATGGTGCTGCGGGCCGCGCTGGTTTTGCTATTTGTTGTCTGCGACAATTGACACTCGATCTGGACACGATGAATGTTCTGTAGACGGAAAGTTGCCGCTGCAGAATGTGTGGCAGACATTAGATGCACGAGACTCGATGCGCTCGGCACGTAAGGCTAACATGGACAATCTTAGTCACATAACTATCAAAATGTCTTCCCTCTCTCGTCGCGCCTGCTACAAGTGTGGCAACGTTGGCCACTACGCCGAGGTTTGCTCCTCCGCTGAGCGTCTCTGCTACAACTGTAAGCTCTGCGCTTCCCCAATGGCCAGATCACTCAGACCGCTAACGAAAGAATACAGGTAAGCAGCCCGGTCACGAGTCCAACGGCTGCCCTCTGCCCCGTACTACCGAGGCCAAGCAGTGCTATCACTGCCAGGGTCTTGGCCATGTGCAGGCTGACTGCCCTACTCTGCGCTTGAGCGGTGCCGGCACGAGCGGCCGCTGCTACAACTGCGGACAGCCCGGCCACCTCGCCGTGAGATTATCTGGAACCCTGATGCCTACGATTTGGATTGCTGACACTTTGAGAAGCGTGCCTGCCCCAGCCCTGCCGGTGTCAACATGGGTCGTGGCGGTCCCGTTCCCCGCGGCGCATACGGTGGTTACGGCCGAGGCGGCTTCACCGGTGGCCCTCGTCCCGCAACCTGCTACAAGTGCGGTGGCCCCAACCACTTTGCCAGGGATTGCCAGGCTCAGGCTATGAAATGTTACGCATGCGGCAAACTTGGTCACATTTCCCGCGACTGCACTGCGCCCAACGGTGGCCCTCTCAACACTGCTGGCAAGACCTGCTACCAGTGCGGCGAGGCTGGTCACATTTCTCGTGATTGCCCCCAGAAGAATACCAACGGCGAGATCCCCAACGATGTGGACCTGACGGCTGCCCCTGGCATCCCCCAGCCCGCGGTTGCGCCCATCGCGCCCATCGCGCCCATCGCCCCCGTCGCCTAGGTGGCGACCACGGCCGTGTCCACCTTTAGATGAGGTGACTTTCTGGTCTAGGCCAGCAAAACCAGTCTGCACATTGTGCAGACTAGTCCTTCCCCTTTGCGGCGTTGCTCCGTGTGACACCGCTTGCTCATGTTTTCAGTACGACCACTCACGCCTCTCGAACTTATTTACTACTGCTACTCCACCTTCCCCCTTTTCATTCTAGTTATTACTTCAATTTCTGCACAAAATGGGCTTGTCGCCAATCGGCATCCTTTGTTTACACGGCGTCTACACGGATTCCCCTTCGTCAACACTATTCATTTTCTGGAACAAAACGGGAAAGGCTTCCTTTCTTCATAGTACGCTTGGTTCTTTGCAACGACTCTCACGACGGACGGTCTCAACGTATTTGAATGCATCTTCAGTCCATCAATTGGAAACAGAATGTTCAAGGCCCTCGCAGCCACCTACAGTCGGTTCACTTGGGCTCGGCTGGGCTACTTGCGGTTGGGTATCCCCAACAAAGTAGCACAGGCAGCGGCGCTAGTGAGCGCGTTGCGCGAGACTACGACAGCAACGAGAATAAATCACAGGACAGCGGTGTCGAGGTAACTTGTGGCTGGGGATTTACACTGTCGTGATGCACCGGTCGACAATAGCCTAGATGGACGGCTCACGCTGGTCCCGGGTGGATGCCGACTGACCGCAACGGACGAGAAAATATTCTTGGAATGGAAGACGGGGCTTGAGGGGGAGGTGAGAGATTCGAGTATCTTATGAAGAAGAAGAAGAGTTTTGGGGCGGTGGAAGTGGTTGTTGAGTAGAAGACCCTTTCGAAGGGAAAAATGGTGGACACCTTGGCAAAGCTGTTGTGGCGTGACGCACAAAAAAAGAAGCTGCTGTTGTTTGAGTTGTCTGCGTGTCTTTGGCGGAGGGGTGTTGCAGTTGTGACGGGTGATCTGAATTGGGTGATGTTGTGGTGGGTAGGGCGCAGCTGGGGTGGATGGGGCCGAACATTCGATTGCCGAAGCCACGCCATAGCGTCCGGGCTAAAGGATACCTCAACATGCTTTACGACCAGCTACGAGGTGCGATGGCACGGATATTGGGCAAGCTATGGGAACAAGGTAGATATGACGACCCCCAGAAACACCAAGACCGGAGGAGAGAGTCCAAGGCTTTGCACTGAGCCCGATGCAGCCAGCCGTTGTTGCATGAGCTGTTCAGAAGCCGAAGAAGGCCTGCAAAGCCAATCTGGCCTTGGGCTCAACTTATCGCCCACGGCCGGCGTCGGCGATTGTCTTTTTGATAATCAGGATTGGACATGGTCGTTGATGTTGCTGTATGTGTCGCCACTTATCGGTAAGTCGGTGAGGCGCCGACGATGACGGGGAAGAGTTGAACTGCGGTCTCAGCTGCGGCGTAACCGGACGGTAGTGGGACCCGGCGCTGCGGCAGAAGCTTTGGCCACCCATCCCGTGATTCCCACCTCACGAGGAGGCTTGCTTGCAGTCGGGCTCCTGCCTTTCCTGCCATGTCTCGCCACGTCATGCCGACGGGCCTTTCGTAGATTGTAATCGTTGCCCCACGACCCAAGACGCAATAACCACATGCGGGCTACGATGATAACTCGGCGAACAAAGGCCAAACCGCTTCGCTGCATCAGTATCTTACTCGATGCCAAGAATCGGCCATGGATGGCTCCAAAGTCCGAAGCGGGGTAAAATGTCAACAGCCCGCCTCAGGCGCTAATCAGCTCTGGGCCATTTCAACCCACGAGGTGGTCTTGCATGCCGCAGCCTGCATCATCGGCGCCATATTCTGGAGTTCACTGTTGCGCAACAGCCTGATGTTAGGGAGACCATCAGCTTAACCCACTCTTTCTGCCCGTCTCTGCCTATCTGCCTGATGACACGAGACGGCTTGGCTGTGAAAATAGGTCACGAGTGAAGCACAACTCGAAGCCCCGTACCACACCCTACCTGCTCTCCATGCAGCAGGCATGCACGTCGAGCGACGTTTCTCGCCTGAGGTCAGTTTCGTAAGCCGACGGTTCTTAGTTGGACAAAGAGCCTCATCTTAACAGGTGAAGGGACTCTCGGGCCCTCTTAGCTTATGTGTGTGTATATAGGGATGGAGAGCGCTGCCCCTAACCTGCATTTCGCAACTAGTGAAGTTTGCCTGGTGCATGCTCTCTCCCGACGAGACCTGATCGTTCTGTTCTGGCACTTTCGTGGGTGTCTCTTCCTTTCCTGGACGTTGTCTTATACTTCCTTAAGGATCTATAATAGTGCAGCTGAGGCCGCCTGCCTCGTTAGCACCGCAAATTGAACAACGCAGCCTAGGTAGCTGGTGGCTCGGGTCGGCTGAACGAGTGTCAGCAAGCACGATCGATATTCAGTACTAGCTGCCATCTATGTAACAACATCCATTAGCAATTCCCTCAATGCTTCCCGCCATGTCGTCCAGCAGCAGCTCTAGCTCAGATACAGAATCCAGTTCCTCGTCTGCGGTGCCAGACATCATTAACCACCTGCATCACCGAACACACCTAGCCAGCATGCCTGTGATCCTTAGCAAACCCCGAAAGGTCAAGCAACAGCCTCCTCAAGAAATTGTCGACGATTTTTGGGCAAAGTTTACCACCAAGGCCCCGGGTAAAGGTTGGTCGCTTCCTTGCTGCAAGAGATCTCCGCCGCCCGCCCTCGCATCAAGCCCGATATGAGTCTTGTCTAATCGGCGTGCTCAGCCACAACTGTCATTCCCCAGAACGCGTATGCGGAGAGGGTTGCGAAGCGATCCGCTACTGTCATAGGCATCGGCACTCAAACTTCATACGAGGAGGCTGCAACTGTCTGCAGAGCCAAAGTCGAGAAGATTGTACAAGAATGCCGGAGGGTGAACCAACGTTATAGAGACCCTCATTATGACATCGAGTTTGACTTGAAGTTTGGGCGACGAGACTGCCTCGAATCCCTCTGGAATACCAAGGGCAGGGATCCTCCGGAACCTTTGTTCCACCCGAAAGCCGTGAAACGGGTTGTCGACATCTTCGACAAGCCGCAATTTTTTATCGAAGGGCCTACAGCCGATGATGTACGCCAAGGCCGGGACGGGGACTGCTGGCTCATGGCTGCATTGTGCAACCTCAGCAACAAGCCTGGTCTAATCGAGAGGGTTTGCGTTGCCCATGATCAAAATATCGGCGTCTATGGATTTGTCTTTCATCGCGACGGGGAGTGGTTCAGCGAAATCATTGATGACAAGGTATCTAGCCGCTTATTTGCCCTATCCTCCATGCCCAAGTCGACTCATCCTACAGCGGCGGGCATGGGAGGAGGCGTCTTTTATTCATGCTAACCTGTGTCGTAGCTGTATCTCACCAAGCCCGACTATGATGAAGGACATCTCGAACGTATTCTTTGGGAAGATCGAGAGCGCGTCAACTCAGAGGAGGCCTACAGACGCATCTACCAGACGAACAGCGGTGCGTTGTATTTTGCTCAATGCGAGAATCCAAATGAGACATGGCTGCCTCTCCTCGAAAAGGCCTACGCCAAGGCGCATGGTGACTATGCGTCTATCGAGGGTGGCTTTACCGGCGAGGCCATTGAAGATCTGACCGGAGGCGTCACCTCTGAGATATACACGACGGATATTCTTGATAAGGAATACTTTTGGAACGAGAAGCTGCTCAAAGTCAACCAGGACTGGCTTTTGGGCTGTTCCACGGGATTTGCATCAAGAGGCTGGGGCGAAAGAAAGGGTATCATTGAGATGCACGCCTATAGTGTCATGAAAGCAGTCGAGATGGACGGCCATAGACTAGTGTTGTTGAAGAATCCTTGGGGCAAGGGGGAGTGGAAAGGCGCCTGGAGTGAGTGATATCTTAGGCTCTTGATGAGTGTTCATGTTACTCCATGCTAACGAGCAGCAGGTGACGGCTCCAAGGAATGGACCCCGGAGTGGTTGCAAAAACTCCAACATACGTTTGGAGACGATGGAGTCTTCTGGATCTCCTACGTTGACCTCCTCAAGAAGTACAGCATCTTCGATGCGACTCGGCTGTTTGGCCCTGGCTGGAAGGTTACATCTATATGGACGACACTTTCGGTACCGTGGACACTGGATTACCACGATACATACTTCGCATTCACAATTTCAAAGTCAGGCCCAGTAGTTCTTGTCCTGGCTCAACTAGACGACCGTTACTTCCGAGGGCTTGAAGGACAGTACAGATTTGACTTACAATTCCGTCTGCACAAAGCCGGCCAGGAAGACTATGTCGTACGAAGTCAAGCATCTTACCGCATGACCCGCTCAGTCAACGTTGAGCTCGATCTCGAAGCCGGTAGCTACGAGGTTCTCGTCAAGCTGGATGCAGTTCGAAACGATCAGGTTCTTCCCATCGAGCATGTTATTCGAAAAAATGCCAAGGGTCGCCGGGAGAAGCTTATCCGAATAGGGCTGGCATACGACCTTGCTCACAGCAAAGGGAAAGTAGTGGAGTCTTCCCAAGAGAAGGCAGCCAGAGAAGCTTGCGAGAAGAAGAACCGGGAAACGAAACGCGCTGAAATCAAACGGAAGCTCCTCGAGAAGCGAGAACAACAGCACTACCTCAAGGTCAGAGCTGTCAAAAGAAGACAGAGGGAGGAAGCAAAGCGCAAAGCACGGCACAAGGCTAAAATCGAGAAGTTAGGGGCCACAAAAGGGATGCGGTCTGTACCGGGAAGACTTTGCTCTGTACCATCAAAGCGACCACAAATACACGAGGAACCCCCCGTATCCCTAGAGTCACCGAACTCCACGACAAGAAAACATATCCCGATACAAACGCCCGACTTTGTGGGTGTTGAGCCAAGGATAAACGACCTGAAAATATGCGGAATGGAGCAGCGCCAGAACAAGTTTGCTGACCGTCCAAAAATCACTGTCCCGGAAGAGTCACCGGCCTCTCCCCGTACTCATGATGGGGCGAGACCATCCATGAATATGCAAGCAAGGATGCTTGTTCGTTGCCACGAAGGGCTATCCATCAAAGTACCAGAGGCCATTCTAGAGACTCAAAAGTCAAAAGGTGATGCGAGAGAGGTCAGTAGCGTTAAGAGTGGAGGTCACGGAGCCACTCCACAAGAGAGCGAAGCAGCAGCCCCTTCGAGAGCTTCCGATTTCTTGCTATGCGAATCAGACGACGATGGGATTTCAAGTGTCTCCAGCTTGTCAGAGCTCTCTGAGCGGGAACTAGAACTCGAGATCGATGCCATAGAGGCACAAGAACCCATTGCTGTTGGCCGCATGTCGCCGCAGCCGGCGCCGGCGGTATCCGTTGACGACCAGGATGAGTTTGAGAGGGACCCTTGGAACGCTGTGGCTGTGGTGGGTTTTCGGATATACTACAAAGCATCAGAAGATTGTCAAACCGAGGTTGTCGTTAAGCTGCGAGTTGTGCGACCAAACCCCTACAACAAAGAGGAAGAGACACCGAAAGCATCAAAACCGGGCGACAAGAAGTCGAAAGGTCTAGATGTGGACGACAGCGCCAAAGATGCCACTCTGGAGGGGGAGATCAAACAGCGGAAGAAGAGCATTAGACCTACCAGTGAGGATCCCAGCGACACCTCTGTGTTAATTCGCTGTGGGACTGGCAGAGGAGCGCAGGCTGCGCAGGGAGCAGACGTACAAGCAAGGGCAAGCTTCAACTTTTGAGACCAATGGCGTTTTTTTAAGGCTTCGGAAGGAACTAGGAGGGACTGGCAGATTGCTTTTAATTGACATTGGGGTATCCTTAGAGCCTAGAACCTAACGCCTCTCTCCCATCAGTATCCAATATACTCTCATGAGCTCAACAAAACGAGCGCTTTCGCTTTAGCCGTGACGTATATCGCCCTTAAAAAGCGCTTCAGAAGCTATCGAGGAGGTCTTCAAGCTTTCGTTTCTCTCCTGCGGTCACACGTTCCACGACGGGGGAGTCATCTTCCCTGAACAAGCTTCCAGATTCCGTGGATTCAGGCAGAAGGCTGACACGACCGCCGACGCGTGCCAAAAGAACTCGCATCTTCTCCATCTCCTTTTCGATCTCACCGTCGCGGGTAACAAGATTCTCCTGCACGCCCATACCATCATTGTCGGAGCGAAAAGGGCCAAGTAGAGCCTCCATGCGCCGCACCCGTCCCACGCGGGCTTCAACCTGCCGCCTCCTCTCAGCGAGCGACCTAAGGCGATCTACTTGCTCTTCATATCGCCTAGCTTCCATAGGGTATGCGATGACGTCGCGATCGGCCGGCCATGTCGAAGGAAGGGACTTAACGGCCGCCTCCTCAGCTTTTGTGCTGCTCCGTTAATCATCACATCCAGACTAATCATGGCACGGGTCCGTTCGACATGTCAGAAGAACGACTTACTTAGGTCCAAAGACAGAGGCAGTCCCTCGCCTGGCTCGTCGTCGTGCGCCGCGAACGGCTGGGACAGGTAAAGGGCGTCGATTTGCTCGGCGACATGGCGGCTCGCCTGGTGCGAGTAGGCGCGCCGCGAATGTTGTAGTACGGCATTGTTGAGCCGGGCGACAACATGCTCAACGACTGGGTCAGGAATTGGGGTCTCAGCTGCTTCGTTTGCGGCAAGCCAGGAAGGGGATGGCTGGAGGGGCAGCGAAAGGAGACGGCTCTGGGCTGCTAGGAAGGCTTGCTTTTGTGCGATCACCGTCGGGGGAGGGGCTTGCGTTGACGCCATCTTGATGTACGGGGATACGCACGGCCGTATCACATCAACTGTGAGTTTTTCTGACACTTGGATGGAGTTGATACCTGAATAGGTAGGTAACGAGGTAGGAGCAAGCAGAGGCCGGTTCGAACAGGGGGGGTGCGGTAGAATGGACCGAGACGCGGCGGCCGGGCACGCGGATACCGGGGTTGGCGGCGATTGTGGGAGCAAGTTAGCGGAGGGGCTGGACGCGTCGGAGAGGTGGGCCACGGTTCGAGGGCCCTGAACAGGTACGTACCTGTACTTACCTACTTCCCTATCTACCTAGGCAGGTACCTCCCGTGCTCCCCTCCTTCCTACCATCACATTCAAATCTTGGCCGAGTGATGAAGTGTTTGTCACCAGCAGCCCCAAGTCATTTTGTTTTCTTTCTTTCTTTTTTCAGGATAATTTTCTTTTTTCTCTTCCTACCCCTCTTTCTTCCGCTAGACAATCTGTACCCCTCGACTCGGTTCGGCGGTCTAGCTCAATACGGGCTGTTGTGTATGGCGCAGTGTTTTGCTCGCAGCCCGGGTTTGCATTTCCTTTCCCAGTGCCTGGCACCCTCGTCAGTGGCTGTGTGATGGATGTAACAATCCTTGTCGAGCGAGGCATAGGCACACCGCTACGGGACGCATACCTATAGCCATCTCCCCTTTTCTTGGTCGCCCCCGCCATCTATATCAACACTAATGCTGTCCGTATGCACTCGATCTATCCCGTACGGCCGCATGGATTGGAAAGTTTGGTCGGCTTACTTGTTATCTGCACGGTAGGCCTTTCCGTCTCACTCCAAGAGGCTGGGGGGACGGGGGAGAGAAAAGCTCTCATCGTGCAGCAGCTCACGTGGTCGAGTCTCTTGGAATCCTTTATGCATACCTAGCTTCTGTGATGCGTCTTCCCCCTCCGCTGAGGATCCAGACGTTCGTCCCTAGCTCAGCCCTGACTTCGCCTATCTGGGTGGCCAGATGTTTGCTTGCGAGAAGCTATCAATGTTTGCCCCCCAAACTTGTGCCTCTATGTGGCCCTGCGCTAAAGCAAACTGTCACTTTGGGACCATTGTCCAAGACCCTGGAACGTCGTTATTGCGTTGGCTGGGTTTTCAACTTAAATGAAAGGTCCCCTTCTCACTAGTTGCTTTGCCACTCCGTTCATGTCTGCGACCGTGTCAAATATTTTAGCCGTTCTTCCACAAACAAGAAGGAAACAAGCGGCGGCGCTGTCTCACTCCCTGGTCCATATCAACCTTGCGTTGTGCCGAGCCCCCTTTGGGTACCGTTGCGATGTCATCTACTCCTCCTTTCTCAATACCTTCCGTCCAAGGCTTCGTCGCTCTCGCGCGCAAGGTTTATCACCCCATTGGTTTCAAGAGGGGTTACAACTTTACCCTGTTTGTCGTCACGGCGGGAGGGATGATGGGTTTCGCCCTTTCCCGCATGATATATTTCAACATTGATGGCGTGTTTTGCAACCCGGATCACAAACAGCGCACCGTTCCAGGGGAGTGTTACTTCTATCAGTCGGGTACGGGGAGGGCCGGCATCGTAATGCACCTCGCTGGCATGATTCCTGGTGGGTTTCTCGCCTGTCTGCAGTTTATACCCGTCATCCGACAAAAGGCCATACTGTTCCATCGCCTCAATGGGTATCTCGTCATCCTCCTTAGCATTGTTGGTATCATCGGTGTCTTGATGGTTGCCCGTCGTGCCTTTGGGGGGGGCGTGAGCATGCAGACGGCGATGGGCACCAGTAGTATCATGTTTCTCGGCGCTCTGGGCCTCTCTTTCTACAACATCAAGAAGCTCCAGATAGAGCAGCATCGTGCCTGGATGATGAGAGCCTGGGTCTACGTAAGACAAAACATTGCAAATCTTGACCTCTTTGACAGGATTGAGGGTTAACATACCATGCTTCATAGGCCGGCTTCATCGTCACCATGCGCATCATCGGCTTCCTGGCCGTCATGATTACGGCCGACTCAGACTACTACCAGGTCAAGCAGTGCGCCGTGCTAGATTTCATTTTCAGTCACAATCAGACCAAGGTCATCGATCTCTACCCGGGCTGCGGCGGCTACTATTCGGGCGAGAGCCCTGGTCTCAATGTCATCATCCACAGCAACTATCACGCCCACCAGCCCGCCGAGATCGCGGCCGGTTTCACGTCCGTCTTCGATGCCGGGTCTTGGCTGGCTCTGGTTATCCACGCCGTCCTTGTCGAATTATATGTAAGCTTGATTCCTCGCAACTTCTTCTACAACCTGTCGATTTTTTCCCCTTCGGTCTAGTTGTCAGTGCGGGAGACTGAATACTGACGAGACCTTAGCTCCATCTGACTCCTGCGGAATCCGAATGTCTCCGCCGCATCTCATATCAGCGCCAGCTCGAAGCAGGAATGAAGAACGCCGGGAATGCGGGTCTCACCGTCCAGAGATTGGGAGACGCAGAGCCTTGGCTGCCACCGGCCGAGCTGCTGCAGTCAGAACACGGCAGAACACCAAGCTCCGACGAAAACATGGGAGAGAAGGGCGTAGGCGCTGTATGAGAAGCGAATCTCTCTTGGACAATCTTCCACGAAGTGGAGCATGCGACCGTTAGACGATGTTGTATCTGGCTAGCGTTTGGCAACCCTGTAATGGTGTCGAAACTTTGGCCCTGCTCTTCCAGACCCTGCATACTTGCAACGATCTCCGCTCTGATAACCTGGACCTTTTGGCTCGGCCGCTTGCCGCTCGTGACCTCAAGCTGCGCTAGAATCTGTAAAGCGGTCCGCACATGTGTAGCCAGTGTCGAGAAACCTGGCCGGTCCACTGAAGCGTTGGCCACGCGTCGTAACCGTTCATTTTGCGGAGCAGACCTGGTGGTCTGCTCGACCTCGCAGTAGAAGCGTCAGAGCTCCGCAGAGTAGGCATCACGAGTATAGTGACCGGCATAACACACTATAAATTAGGATGATTATATTGGGATCTGCTTTGTTGTTTGGCTCACTCACTTGGCCAACCAATTATCTGGCCCTGTGTGGATGTTATAGGGTTCATTCGTTCATGTCCAAGACCAAACAGAGAAAGGCTCCTTAGTAAAACACCATTCCACCATATGCCGCAGTACATAACCCCTTTTTCTTTCCTTCTTTTCTCAACTCTTTCTAAAGGCCGGACCACCAGAACGTCTCACCAACCTGGAAGCTACCCTTGGCGGCCTTATCCGTCAAAACACTACTGTCGCTGACAATTACTTCGTACTCTCCCTCTTCAGCACACCACTGGTGACGCTCCTCGTCAAAGTAACTGGCAGCGTACTTGGTCTCGATATCGACTGTGACACTTTTGCTCTCCTCCGGCGCAAGGAACACCTTTGCAAAGCCCTTTAGCTCCTTAAGAGGGCGGTTGACCTTGGCCTTCTGCTTGGGCGCGATATAGACTTGCACAACCTCGGCACCCTGCAACTTGCCCGTGTTTTTGACATTGACGTTGACGGCAATCTTGCCATCCTTCTCAGTGACCTTGAGGCCGCTGAAACTGAAGCTCGTGTAGGACAGGCCGTGACCGAAGGGAAAGAGTACAGGGCGGTCGATGTACTCGTAATAGCGGTAGCCAATGTAAACATCCTCGCCGTACAGCGTGCGGCTGGCCTCGGTGCGGTAGTTGAGGTAGGCCGGGTTGTCCTGGACACGCTCGGGGAAGCTGAGGGAGAGCTTGGCCGAGGGGTTGACGTCGCCGAAGAGCACGTCAGCGATGGCGTTACCTGTCTCGTTGCCGCCGTACCAGGCTTGGACAAGGGCCTTGACGTCCTTGGCCCAGGGCATGCGCACGGGGGTTCCCGACTGGTTGACGACAACGGTGTTCGGGTTCGCCTGAGCGACGGCCGAAATGAGCTTGTTGAGGTAGCCCGGGAGGTCCATGTCGGCGCGGTCGTTACCCTCCGTCTCCCAGTCGGCATTGAGACCGGAACAGATGATGACCTGGTCGGCATCCTTGGCGAGGGCGGCTGCCTTGGCAATCTCGGCCTTGTTGTCAATGACCTTGCAGCCGCCAATGCGCAGAGCGCCGCCGCCGAAGATGACGTTGCCGCCCTGAAGCTTGGATGACGGGGCCGAGGCGAACTCAACCTTGAAGGTGTACGTCTCGCCTTTCTTGAGCTCGACTCGGCCCTTCTCCTCGACGGTGGCGGCGCCGAAAAAGGCGTCGCCCTGGCGCTGACTGGTGCTGTTGTCGATGACCAGCTTGCCGTTGACAAAGAGGTTGGCTGTACCGCAGACGATGAGGCCGAGCTCGTAGGCGCAGTCTTCCTCGGCAACGAAGGAGCCTTCAAAGTCGGCGTACCAGAGATTGGACTTGAGCTTGGGGTTGTAGTAGTCGACGAGCAGCAGCTCTGTTTTGGTCAGGACGAGCTCGTCAACAAACTCGCGGTGGCGGTCCGTCGGGGGCTCGTTGTAGGCACGCATCGTCATACCGTGCTTGCCGTCAGCCGACTTACAGACATTTCCAAGGAGTGGAAGGAGCTTGTGAGAGTAGGCACCCTCAGTATACTCAGGAGGAGACTGAAGCTTTTTGCTGATACCGTCGAAGGGGGTGACAGCGTAGTATGCAGCCAGGGCGGCAGAACCACCTCCGTGGTATGTGGCGATCTTTGCGTTGGGGCCGATGACAACAGTCTATAGTCGTAAGAGGTCAGCGATCGCCACCATGTCATCTATCCCATGAGCGTTTGCCGACCTTCTTGTCCTTCTTCAGGGGAAGCACGTTGTCATCGTTCTTTAGAAGGACGATACTCTCACCGCCGATGCGTCTCAGCAACTCGGCAGTCTCGGGGGTGTCTCCCGTCTTCTCGGGGGCGCCCTCGGGAATGCCGGTAGCTACAGCCTTCTTGATGAACTTGAGCATGGCGCGAGCTCTCTCATCGAGCACGTGCTGACGGACTTTATCCGTCGACACGTTAAACTTGAGAGGCTCTCCACGGAAGCGAGGGGGGCCGGGCATCTCGAGGTCGAGACCGGCGTTGGCTGCCTCCGTGGTACTATAGGTCCCGTACCAATCGCTCATAATCATGCCGTCCCAGCCCCACTCCTTACGGACCAGCTTGTCCAGCAAGTCGGAGTTCTCACTGCAGAAAGTGCCGTTGACGCCGTTGTAGGCCGTCATAAGGGCGCCAGGCGTGGAGTCACGGAAGGTCAGCTGGAAGGGCAGTGCGTATATCTCACGCAACGCGCGCTCCGTCACAATACTGTGGACGGCATTGCGCCTGTGCTCCTGGTCGTTGCAGACAAAGTGTTTTGGGGTCGCCTGGATGCCAGTGCTCTCGATGCCTCTTACGATGGCAGCGGAGCCAAGCCCGGCCAGGACAGGATCCTCACCAATGGACTCGAAACCTCGGCCACCGAGCGGGGAACGTTGCATGTTGATGGTAGGGCCCAGAATGCAATGGGCTCCCTTGAGCTTGGCCTCCTCGCCCATCTTCCTACCGGCCTCTTCGAGGAGCTCAGTGTTGAAAGTGGCGCCGAGGGCCGTACCACAAGGGAAGCAAGCGGCCTTGATGCCATTGAAAAATTTGGTGCCGCGCACGCCATTGGGGCCGTCGGAGAGTCGAATGGAGGGGATGTTGTGGTTGGGGAGGGCTTTGGTATGCCAGAAGTCGATACCTTGGGAGATTCCACCGTTAGCTTGTCATTCACCCTTTCCGGTACTCGATGGAGCGATTCAGCAGAATGCAGGGACGAAACTTACCCGCAAGAAGGTCAACCTTCTCGGAGACGGTGAGCTTCTTGAGCACCTCTTCTACGTCAAAGTCGGCCATTGCGCGTTCTGGATAGCGGCGGGCAGCGTGAAGCGACTGGATTATCTACAGAAGCCTCTTCAACAATCCACGGTGTGTCTGCCAACAATGAAGAGGAACAGACAGGCGAGAAGGGAAAGAGTGTGGGATGGGCAAGAGACGCAGGAAGGGAGTAGGAGCTCTTCCGACGGGTCGTGCTGTTAAATAGATTGGTGACAAGCTCGACAAGTGGAACAGCTTCGGACACGGCGGGAACTGGTTGATAGTAGGCTGGAGCTTGCCAACTTTCCGCCCCTCGGTCTCATGTCCTACGTGACAGGAGCTAATCGGATAGAGTAGCCGCTGCCGTCACCGGGGAACTACAGGCAAGCAGGGCATGTTTGCATGCAGCCAGAAGCAGTTGGAAGCGACGATATTCCTCCAATCATGCATGCCCTTCAACCGATGGGCGGAAAGGTGGAGAGGTCTCTTACACGGGGCCGGTGAATTGGCTTGACGTCGACATCCAATGCCCTTCATCAGCCCAACCTACCCCACGCTATCAGGGGAGTTGCCCCTCCTTTTTCGGGTAAAGCTCGGATGGGTTTCCGCCGTGGTGTCTTGGTTTGTCCTAGCTCAGGCATTTAACCCCATCCGATGATAGCGGGCGGATTGGCTGGTCTATTTTGGACATGAACGTCGCCCCGAAATCCCGTCAAGACGACACCGTCCTCGCCCCCGGCTCAAGTTCGGCTACGGTAGCAGAAGTTACATAGTGGCAGACGGACCCAATCTTTTGCCGGAGGTAAGGAGTAGACTTGACGAAGATCTAGCGAGGTTCAGCCGAATGAAGGACAGTGCAACGTGGGCCGGCCGTAACCGTCCGGCATTCCCCACCAGGACTGGCACGACTGGCTCCGGCTCGGAATACGTGCATGGTGTTTTATGATGCCGATATGTGTACTCCAAACAGGGCGCAAATAGGCGACGACACCGCCTAGGGCCTCGGCTACGGGTTACAATTCCCGCCACGGTTCCACAATCGGGTAACCGTGCGTCTCTATGGGATGGAAGTTGACTTACGGAGCTTTGCAGAGTCGCGGGCCCTACTTAATCAGTGGGCTAAGTCAACCACCTCCGGTCCATCAACTCCGGCACCCCGGCCCCATTCAACCGTTCATATGCGGACGATCCATCTTCTGAACTGAGGTACTTGACCAAAGTGGTCACTCTAATCCATCTTTTGAACGTGTCTCTTTAGTGGGAAAGCTCTACTGGCTTCCCAACCCGTAAGTCCAAGTGTACAGATGTTCCATCGTGGCGCGTGGCAACGAACTGGGCATATCAAAGGTACTCTGACCGAAACTACTTCTGGAGACACTCGCCTCGCTTTTGAACCTAGAACTAGAAGGAGGCTTCCTTCATTGGGTCCTCTCTTCGACTCTTCTTTGGGTTATCCTTATGTAACAAGACTTTTGAGCCAGTACTGTAGAGGCTCCTGATACCTGTGACGACCAATTGAGGGCTTAGCCGTTGGACCATGTTTGTGCCTCTCGGGCGATCGAGGCAAACTCCGTCCGCTGTGCGTCTGCAAGGCGACCAGCGTTGGATTCTGCCCTGAGATGTGATCAGGAACTGCGGTTTGCCGAGCAATGGCGAACATTGGATACACCGATGGTCCGGAGACCCGGCCGGATCCTTGGAAGGGTTCTCCAGTTGATAACGGACATTTCCTCAGAAAAGAGAGGGATTGTCAGGGGAAGCAATTGACCTCTATCTTGACTTCGCATGATC